TTTTGTATCATAAAAAACTAAAGGATAGCAAGTTATATTGCCTACAGCTACTTTACAGCAAGAAACTAGAGTTACGGTGAAGCTTTATATTCAAAACAAAATATCTCTGATAAAGCGTATACATTGTATGAACTTTGTTGCTGGTTTTCGAGGGTTTTCTGCTTTAGATGAGACTGTCGCCTTCGCCCATTTTGTCATAAAAGTCAAAGTCTTCTGTTTGGTGTGTGACTTCACAGTGGCCGTAAATGGCGTGTGTTTGTGTGTATTTTGTAATGCTGTTAAGATCAATTTTGTTTGATTTTGTGTTGTTGGTTTTGTTGATGAGGTGAGTGCCGTGTGATTTCGTTGTGGTCAAAGTCGTTTGCATTGGTGGTGTTGGGTTTGTTATTGTTGTCAATGTTGTCTGTTTTTGCGTTGTTGGTTTTGTTGAGGGCATTGTTGTAGGTTCCGTTGTTGAAGGTTTTGAGGTTTTTGTCAAATTTGTTTGCATTTGTATTGTAAGAGTGGTAGTTTGGGTCGACATTATTGTCAGTTTAGTTGTTGTTGGAGTTTTCCCTGTTACTGCCATTGTTGTTGACATAACTGAAGAAAAGTTTAGTTTTAAATGACTAAAAGAAAAAAGAAGAAGAAAACAACATAAAACGTGGTCAAGCAATGGTCAATGATTGTTTGGTACCTCGAGAAAGTATTTGATTATGTACCTTTATTTTATCATACGTAAACATATGAAAGATTAGTGATTAGAAAGGAGAAATAACATTGATTTGTATAGTAAAGCAAGCAAATATGGAAAATACGTTGCAATTAATTGAAACAAATGATCAGCTCTAAGATATTTTTTTTCTACACAACAATCTAAATGATTGTAAAGGGATTTGGAAATTTACCTTGGTTACAATTACGACCTGTATATCCGTACACACATGTACATGTGTAATTGTTGACTTTATCCACACATGTTGCTCCATGTTTGCAAGGCTTAGCGTCACATCCGTTTATATCTAAGCAGTTTTGAAATATGCAAGCATAAAGCAGTTGCAAGGATAGAGGGTAAAAGAAAATGCTTAATGCCATAATAAAAGATTTAAAGAGGGAACAGCATTGCAGTGAATCACTAAGTAGGTATAATATTCATGATAAAATCTATGTAAAACAGAAACAAAAGTAAGGTTAAAGAATTCTATTTAACAAACAATTCTAAATAGACTTAAACTGTTTGACTCGACGATTTCCGAACTTACTATATTTTATTTATTCTAATTATCTCTATGCCTTGCAATTAAGTGTTTTAATTAAATTAAATTCACAGACACTTCATACAATTTAACTACAGAAAGTGTTAACTTGATTGATAAAGTTTTGAGCAATGTAGATTTAAAATCTTTAAAAATTATTATCATTAATTAAGTAACATCAGCGAAGACTTATTTCAATGAGGGTTGGAACAACTTAAAATCGATTTAAAATTTAAATTTAGCTAGACGATTTCTCATTGCTTACTTATCTATATTTATACAGTATTTTATATTTCCTGATTACTCATGATTGTTTCATGCCATATACTCTTGTAGATTACAACCCGTTATTGCTTTCTATTCATAATATACCATAATCACTTTTGAAATCATTGCCATTCATTTGTGTGATTTATAGACTTAAATTGATTGCTTATTATAGTTCCTTACACTTATATATGTCAGTATCAAATTTATGTTTTTACTCCGGCTTTAAAATTGTAATTTCCTCCCGTTAATTGACTTATTAGAACCTTACTACATATATCTTATATTTCGATAAATGATTATTAGATGGCACTAGAGAATGAAAAAAATGAAAGCTTGTATTATAATTGTTTAATTTTCTATAATTTTATTTCAATTCCATAATTCGTATTAACAAGAAGTAATGCTATCTATCCAAATGCACTATTTACATGCATACTTTTTTAAACAATCATTGCAGGTGCAAAGTGATAGAACTGCAGGAGAAGGTAAATCAACAGATAACATACCATCACAGTTTGTTCCAATGTAACCAGGGCTACACTGACATTGGTAACTATTCACTCTATCTACACAAGTTGCTCCATTTTTACAAGGGCTAGATATACACTCGTCTATATCTGTAGGTATAATAAGTATATGTAAATTATATGAAGACTAAAGGTTGAAAATGAAAATCGCTTATTTCAAAAATTATTATTTGTTTATTTTTGCAAAAGATACAACAAAGAGGGGCCAAATACTTTATAACAGCAATAAACAGTGTTTTTTTGGCGAGACACACATGTATGCAGTAACATTTGGAATGGAAATGCAATTTGTTTCATTAAGCAACGTTTTATAAAGAAATTGTTACCTGTTTCACAGTTTGTCCCATTATAACCAGGGGAACAGTTGCAAAGATACGCGTTTACATTATTTAAACAGGTTGCTCCATTGATGCAGGGATTAGATGTACACTCGTTTATATCTGAAAGAATATGTAATCAAAATGATGCGTCCATTTTTTACACATATTAATCTCGTAACGAATATTAAAGTAATAATTTAGAATTCCAAAAACGATAATATCAATGATCTAAGAATCAGCAGATTGTAATTATTAAGCCAAAAAAATGAACTGACTTTGGTTTCCATTAAAACAGATATGCCGCTGTCCAATGTATTTTTTCCATTTTATAGCAATTTTTCCATACACCAAACTTGTAGTTATATTTGTTTTACATAAATCTGGAACTAACGTCATTAATTTACATGTACATGAATTATGTGTAGTCACATATTATATCATCTCCGGAAAAAAGGTCGGTCGAAACTTTGTCATTGTGTAGGGTTAACAACTTTTCGGGCTCAAAAAGTGTAAAAAAAATAGTATAAGTGACCGACACAACAAAAAAGACCCAAAGAAAACAACCGAGGTAAAAAGTTTAGTAGTTAAAACACTATAAATTAATCATGGGAAATCCAAAAAATAATCTTTATTATTTCATCGAGATAAGTTTATGATCTGAGCATAGTTTGACTTTTTAATACCAAATATAAACATTGTCCGATCTTCCTGTAAATACGGGAAATAGTGGGGGATACGAGTACGGTTATATTTTACTGGTATTCAGTCTCTGCTAAGCAAAATTATCATTCTTTTTATTTGCAACTATTGTCCACTATATACACGGGATGCGCAATAGAGAAGAGCCGTGTCGAAGCCTCTATTAAGCATTTCTCTCAAATGCCGGGAAATCTGCATTAGTACAGGAAATAATGATTTTTCCATTTTATAAACATTGATTTATAGATGTTTTGATTTTGACACAACTGTTTTATTATTCTCATATCATCACAATATTTTGGGCTATTGTAAACCAAGACATCGATCGGTCTATGTGCTGAAGTCGCGCACTTATGTTTGGAAAACACGTGCATGTTCATTGCAGTTTCAATAATTCAATATGTCATAAGTTATTTTGTAGGTGTTCGTTTAGTTCCTTAAACATTTGGTACGTTTCCGGTATTCCTCCGCTACACGTCATTACTCGTCCTTTTCCAAATCAAATGGCTACCAAACATCGACGGAAAAGTAACAAATAAGTAATTTACGGTTACCAAACGTCTTTGCCATGCGTAAATTAAGCGTTGGTAAAAAACTTTTATGGTTCTATCGTATATTTAAGTTGCAAACCTTCATAAAGTTATTCATGGAGGTTCATTCCATAGATATCATGAAATGAAAACGTAAAAATTTAAGTGTAATCTATCAGTTATATTACGAATATCAAAACAAAATTTAAAAATACCAAAATACCCTAATTAGGCAATCCAACACATAGTTTACACACAAAGTGTACACTAGCTTAACTCTCTATAATAAGGAGATCAGTATTGTCGTTAGAAGTCAGATATATCATAAGTTACCTGTTTCACAGTCTGCTCCAGTGTAACCAGGCATACAATTACATTGATAGTCGTTCAGTTTATCTAAACAACTTGCTCCATTTTTGCAAGGATGAGATGAACACTCATCTATATCTGTGCGAAGACAATATAATTATAATTTAGTTGTCTCATAACAAAAGTAAAAAAATCTTAATTTGCAAAAGCATGAATATACTATTTCAATAATCTTAACATTAGTAAAGATGAACTAGGTAGCCTAGCAATATCGAATCCAATCACACAGAAAGACATTTCAATACATAAGTGTTGCATGAAAGTTATAATAAATACTATTATGTACAAATGTATCCGTGAATTATTAAAAAAACACTATTACATATACGCTACATATGTACGATAAAGGAGGCACGAAACAAGTTTCTTTATTTTTATAAAAAAGTAGATATACATGTACATTCTCTATAAAATCTATAAAGAGAAATAACACAACACTTTGTTTATGTTGTTTTTCATATATAATATCTTTCAAAAATATAATAATTTTTCGACTTTGATACAAGTCTTCTTTCTAACCAATACATTAAACTTGATAAAGCAACAGTATCAAATACAAGATCTTCAAGGAAAGGCGGCGTTCAATAAACGCAGCCCCCAAATGAATTTTTTGCGCATTTGGTTAGATTATATTTAAAATGTGTAAAAGTATGTTGTATGTACCTGTCTCACAGACTTTGCCAGTGTATCCGGGCTGACATTTACAAACAGCGTCTGATATATGAATTGCTAAACAACTACCACCATTTAAACAATGTAGTTTCTGACATGGTCCAAAACCTAATGTATACGAAAGCATTGAATTAATTTTATAAGCTTTGTAAGCATTGGTAATGTGAAAGTCAGGTTAAACATTCATTTCTGACAAAAATCATCTTTTAAGAATATCTTATTGAAAAAATCACTATAAAGTCCATTTTAACTAAATATGTAAAGCTTACTAGATTCATTTTTTACTTCTACTTTCATGTGATTTTGTTGCCCACCGGATCTGAAATGAAAGGAATTGATATTTCAGTCAATCATTTATAAAAGCTTTCGTTTAAAAATGTAGAATCACTGTTGAAATTGCAGCCATAGGGTCAATCTATGGTATTTAGCATTCATGACACGAATGTCCCACAGTTCACTTTTTTGTCAATCATCAGATATGATAAACAAGATCAACAAGGAAAGTTGGCGTTCAATGAACAGTCTCAAAGCAGGACAGTGTATGAGATCATAACGGAAAGGATAGACAGGTTTATCTGTATACTCCCCCCTCTAATCAGCATTTTTAATATGTATTTAAATGAGCTTAAAGAAAAAGAAGTATTCATGATTAATAATTACCCTGCAGAAGTACACAAGTCAAGCGTGTTTGGATTTTCTGTCTTGATAGCTAAATCCGTCATGCACAAATTATCAACTGGAGTAGTTTTGAAGAAATGAACACCTGGCACTCCTTCTCCACACTCTTTGACCTGAGAACTGGTTATATATATTTATATATTTAAATTACAGGAACACGTATGTTATTCAAATATACCTTATAATATATATTTTTAACAGTTTTTAAGGTATCAAAGTAAACTGTTTTGTATTGTTGCTTTTTGTTTCATTTTTTTTCTAGACTTTACGCCGATTTTATCACAGTTTTAGGTCATATCTCGTCTTTTGTTGATAAGCAAGTTTCTCAGCAGATGACCAACTATATATTTACCTCACATGATTTCTGAATCGTTGGAAACAGTCAAATGACCATTTAACTCAATGTCCCAGATTTTATGGAGAAATTACGCTTCGAACCAGTGGCACCTTGGTGATAACTTAACCAATGATTGACCTATCGAGCGGGCGAACATATTAAATCTGCAAAGTACTATGGAAGGGGTTGAACGCATTCATTTACTTGGGGACCATACGCCACTTTTTATGGAATGACACTACTGTGTCTCATTGAAATTTCCATGAGAACCGCCATATGAACACATCTCCGGAAGTTTCTAAATTCGAAATTTCACCATTTTCGTTTTAATGTTGAATTATGATTAAGCCGGTGCTAGGGGGCGTGGACGGTAACTTGCACTTTACGGTGGCGTCCATTAAAAGGCTCAATCAAACCAAGTCTGCAACATTTGACAATTTTGACGTGTTGGGCTTTCTTCAGGGATTCTGTTTTCTCAATTTGAATATCTTACACCACTGAATATTGTCGATTGAATTTTGAATTCATGAAGTATTCGTGAATACAATTTTACCAAAAACTCAGAAAATTGTTCATTCTGAAGCTAACGAATTAACAGCTTTCACTTCCGGTAACACCACAGTACAAAGGAGTTCTTTGGAACTTTTTGCAAAAGCTGTTGCCACTATTTGCAAAAGCTGTATATTGAAATAGATTTTATAACTAACAATATAATGCAACACTTTTCAAATGACTTTCATATTTAAGGTACAAACACGGACGCAAGAAAACACTCCCATCCATAACTTTTATTAAATTCTATATTAACTATTCAATCCTTCTTTTCAACTTTATTGACAAAAAATAACAACAAAACAACAACAACAACAACAACAACAACAACGCAAAAACAATAACACCACAATTAGAATTTATGTACTGAGTGAACAGAGTCGCGATAGAGAAACGCGTGTTAAACTACGATTGAGGAAAAATGGAAGTAGGTATATGGTCACTGCGCCACTATTCAACTTGCAGTCTGAAAGTAAATTCAAATTAATATCAGTTCCACAGAGCTGGCAGGTTAAAACTTTTTAGAAATTGTTACATTACCATTGACCTCCAGGCTGTTGCTCTGTAATAATCTGATTGTGACATATTGTGTTCGGTTTACATAAAACTGTTGACCCATCAGGAATACTTCTGCTAAAATGTGGCGGAGGCTAGAATAAAGTGAAAGATAATTAAAAAATCCTGAAGCACGAATTCATAATCAATTTTATAATTTATGTGATAAATATAAAGTTTAGATATTCTTTATACATGTAGTTGTTTATGAATAAAACATTACTGCAATTTATGTAATCACACCATCAAAACATATAAATTGTACGAGTGTTTTAAGTTCGTATATATATTTTTAGTTCATATCTACATTATTTAAAAGTCAACGGTTAGCTACTTAGTACAGTTAAGTAAAATATAGTCGTACCGTGTTATGACTTGAATCTGAAATTAAAGATAAAAAAATAATTTACTACTAATCTAGTAAAAGTTAAGTAGGGGTAAAATTATAGGGACGAGGATATCATGCTGGTACTATGGTTTGGGGTCTTACTCTGCATAGAAATGATCGTTGCCGTAAGGCCGGGAAAATTTTCTTAAAAGAAAACCCTAAATGCAGCCCAAGGCTATGATATTTCATTTGAATCTTTATTTATAAATTGTCCTTCCCTTAATCAATTAAACTACCCACTCGGAACCTCGGTTACTTTTATGGTACATGTTAATAACCGAACTGTGATTTTTCTATACAGAAACATGGTTAATGCTTCTAATTGGTTGGAAGACAACATACACTTAAAAACATTGCTGAAACGAATTATGAATCGCTAGTAATACGTTTACCGTCGTTTAATTAGGAATCTTTAATCACAGGCAAAGAATGGATTTTAAAAATTGTTTTAATGAAAACGATTATTTAGTTAACACTACTCGGGGATTCGAAAATGATTAAAATGGGAAAATTGATAGACAGGAAAAAATTATATTATACAGGCTGTGCGTCATGCCACTAAAGTAGATTTATGAAAATGATTAAAATGTTTAAAACACGTATGTCCATGCTCCAGACAAAACTGTGTCTTAATTGAGGGCCATATTCCCAGTTCCCCATTACCTATCCCCAATCTGAATATATTCGTTATTTTCCGGTCTGAGTTTTGATATAGTCAAGTGACGGTCAACGGTCACGGTTATACGTGCACCAAGTAAACTAAGATAACTGTGCTTAATTTGAAATCACGCAGACTTTTTCTAAAGAAGCATGTGTTATCACACTATGCGTTAAAACCAATAAAGCATTTTTGCGTACAAAAGTCTCAACTTTTTTTATTTCATTTGAAAAAAACCACAACAACAAAAAAGCAACAATAACAACAATGCAATTATTATGTATGATATATTAATAATAGAACTAAAGAATATATATCATATATGTCAGAGTGAAAAAAATACATAGTAAGGAATGGACATATCTGGCTGCTTACGGATATCAGATTAAAGCTATCAAACATAGTATCAAATAAATTGGAACATAAAGTTTGACAAATTTGGAATGCAAGCGAATTTGAAACAATAGTAGAGAAGTTACAAACAAGATATATAATGATAGGAAAACCAAAAAGGTGTCACTTTAGCAGGTTTACATATCTTATATCATAGCAAGTTTAAATCTTAAAATTGGCTACATAACACCGATTTTGAGTTTTGATACGTAAGATCTAACCACAAGGGTCTGAAAGTGTAAAATATTTACTCCAAAAGAAAAATTGGCTAAGTTCGATATTTTACCGGTTCCAACATGACCAAAAGGACATAAATTAATTTACTATTGCTGCTTTTTCTGTGTAGATTGTCAATTGTCCATTTTGCCTGTTCTATTTTACATCAAACGTTCGCTTTAACAAAACACAACAAAAATAAGCTGTTAAAATTCGGTAGTATCAATAAAACTGCTTTGATCTATTCACGTCTTAGGAGTAAGAAGTATAATATAGAAAAAACAACCGTCCCAAATGTAAGCGGCATTAATAGACAAACGAACTATGAAGTGACAATAAATGATATCTATCTGAACGAAAGACTTACTTTTATGTTGTACTGTGATATTTATGCAAATCTCGTCAATATTCATCCTTGAAATTAGAACATTACAAAATAGCATTTATATTTAATGAAATAGGAAAGTCTTAACAAAATGAAATAAAATTGGAATAGAGAGTTATATTGCAACAACATAAACAAAGTAAGCTATAAATTATTGCATATGAAGTAAAAAAAGAACCAGGTTAAAAGTAAATAAGCTACAGCATAAATTTTAGCCACTAGTAGTAGCAAATAAATTACCCTTTATTTGTGCCATTAGTAGTTGCAAATAAGATTACTTTTATATGGTACCATTAGTAGTATCAAATAAGTTAACTTTTATTTGTGCCATAAGTAGTTGCAAATAAATTACCCTTTATTTGTGCCATTAGTAGTAGTCTGTTGGCAGAATTTATAGGGACCACCAAGCGGTGCTTTAACACATGTCTGTGAAATATGTCTTGTAAGATCAGTACTTCCAGTCCCTAGCACACTTTGGTTGGATATACTCAAAGTGGAACTCATAAAACCAATCAATGGACTGAAAAACACAACATAGAAAATGCACTTTTTTACAAAAGCAAAACAAAAGCAATACAAACTAATTAATAGGAACCAAAATACTCGGGTCGATTCATAAGAGAAAATAAAACGTGGATATTCCCTCACAAATACAAGTACAAGCTTAGGCAGTATTCAATCTTCTCCTTTTCATATTTCTTCATATACTTGAAATATAGGAATAATTGAAACTTTTACAACGGTAGACTATATGAGAAAATGTAAAACAATAAGACGAAATTCCTTATACGAGTAGTTGACGTCACACAGCATATATCGCATGTTGGCAACAGTGCAAAAATATTTAGAAGATCCTTCAAGAGCAATGAACACAAAATTGATAGTATTTTGTACAAATTCCTTGTAATCTAGAGAAAAACATTCATTGGAAAACCATGATTACGGTTAACACATGAAAAAGTAAATACAAATGTACTAAGAAAACAAGTATAACAATTTTGCAGCTGTATTAGGCAATAACTCTAACTACCAAAACAAAGTTTTCGTTATAGACTTTGATTTTGACACAATTACTCACTATTTTGACATAATATATTGAGAAAGGCAACTTGAAATTAATGGCACACTATCTTTTCGTCCAATCAAGGCGCACTCGTAACAATATTTTATTGTCATAATGAACATCGTGAAATCAATACGTTGGTGTAATATGATAAAAATATAAGTTAACTGGCGGCACAAAATGTTTCAAGTTATTTTAATATTAATAGTCTTGACATGATGTTATTGAAAATTATCAAAGTTATAGTAAAGATGGTATTACTATATGATATGATTTAAACACTAATGATCGCTTATTAATTAGACTTCGAAATTAGATCATTTACTCGATATTTAGTTGGTAGTCACTTTTCTCGTTAGCATATGCCCACGAATAAACACAATGCAATATATTTGTCAATATTTAATATCATTTAATATTCATACATATATTTGCAATGTACATGCCATTGAAAAGAAAAAATGTACAGAAAGTCCCTTACGGATTATTTTTCATTCCAATATACGGTGTATTAATACAGCATTCACTATAATCTTCACATTTGACGTCGGTTGGAATAGCACTGTCTATTTCAAAATGTTGACTGCCACTAACCGTGCCATTCAAATTCCTGACACCTGGCAAAGTCTTGTTCTTGTCTAATCCTGGCACAGAATAAATCAAACCGTTTCAAATATACTTACTTTATTGATGTAAGTAAATGTTAAATACTATAAAGTTTTTGTGATTAATTCAGCGATTTGACAAAACGATTTAACAACTGATTGATTGATCGGGAACTTCTTTATCGGTCCGCCTAAGGTAGTCTTACGCCAAGAAATCCTAACATCGGCTAATATTGTAGCAAATCGGTTATTTCCGGAACGTTATTTTTTCAAAATCTTGAACACTAGATTATTTACAATCACTCATCCTTCATTGCTATGTGCTAAATTTCGGTTATAAACGGTTAAAAAATATTGAATACCGAAAATTGTGAAAAATAACGTTCCGGAAATGATCGATTATTACGATATTGATGCTAGAAAAATTATTGTCAATACAGAAACAAGTAAATATTTCTTTCGCCACTATGTTTTTTGTTGACATGAGACAACACTTACAGTTCTATCTTATGTTTCTACAACTTCACAAAACCGTTAAATCACTTGTAACTTAGTATATTAACATGATCAACAAAAAAGCCTAATAAAAATGGTAACATTTTGTTTTATTCTAAATAGCATATAAAATTATAGAATTATTTGTTGTACAAAGTTTAAGATGTAAAACTGAATAGCAATAAATTATATTTACCATGTTCACAATTTCTGCCTGTGAATCCAGCAGATGTACAAATACACGAGTAAGTTGCTAGCACCTTCCTAAAATCTGCCATACATTTTCCGTTGTGATGACAAGTGATTCCACGACATGGTGATATCACTACAAAATAAAAGTTTTCAAACATCAATAACATCACTAAAATATTGACAGTACATATAAATGTATGTGATGATACTGATCATTATAAAACAAACATATCAAAACTTAAATAATTAAATATATTTACCTTCCTTGTTCATGTCAGTGACTACTTTAACAGTGTAACATCTACGTTCACCCTTTTTCCTGCACGTATAAAAATTATTTTTAAGTAATTGTCAAAAACACCGCTTATTGCTTACATCAGGAGCAGTAATCAAAAGCGGTACACTATCTCCTTTTTTACAGTATATAAAATGCAGGTGTTGTTTAAAATTTCTTAATCAGGAAAATTTAACGACTTCAAACAAACTAGCACGATAATTGATCGTTTATTAATATATCAGTAAATATATTTAAATTATCATCACTACCGTAACGACAGATTTATACATGGGATATATCATTTAAAAAAATATTAACGTTAACATATTTTAATGACAGAAATGAAATATTTGTTACCCTGGTAACGATACTTGTAGACAAAGTTGGTGCGGACCGTCTGCTTGTGGTGGAACATACGTAACATCTCCAGTGCACACCGTACTGTTCTCTCTCTTTACATTAAATATATGTACACCTTGGACAGGACTTGGACTCCTCTCAGTCAGAGATGGACTAAAAGATGATGAAAACACCACAATTATACAAATACATGCAATTCAATAAACTATATATTTAAATGCTGTGTTTTAGTAAGGAAAAAAGCAAACTTAATTTCCCCCTTTTTAGAATATAAACTTTAATATTACCATACTCCAGTAAATCCAGCAAACATATCTCCAGATGTAAAATGCATGTCGAAGTGACAAGCCTTTTTGATTTCACACATCACAGTAGCTTCAGTTGATAGTGTAGGGGGAAGAAAGTAGGGCTTGGTCTGCGACAAGAAAAGAAAGAGAAAACGAACAATAATGAGTTTTCTACTTTTTCAATTGGTATTTCAACATATTTTAATATTCCGTCAGAAACTTTACACAAGAAATAAACTTGAAAAAAATGACTTTTTATTAAAAGCTATGTTTGAACTAATATTTTCATCAATATTTAAATTATAATATAAAACAATGTCTCATACGCAAACAAAACAAAAAAAACTAATGTTTACCTTGTCCGTTTTGTCAACAGCTGTACCTTAAAGAGAAACCAATTCTATAATTCCAGAAAGGTAAATTAAATGTTAATTAACTTTAATTGAATTTTTCCAATAGAGAACTTTTTCGATTTTTTTACTACATGCATATTGTAAATGTTAAATATAGATTATATGGTTTTTCTTTTGATAATTGTCATCGGTTTTGGAAGTGAAAGGAATTTATCATTATTTCAAATACACCGAACTGCAAAATAAACGCAAAGGTTATGGAAAAGTACTGCTTCATTTCTGAATGTCCGCTGTAAATAGATTTAATCAAAACTATTTTTATGCACGTTATAAATATGCAACTAAAATTCATTGAAATCATCGTGCTGTGATATATGCCGAACAGCTAAAATATGGAAAAAAATAAAGTTAATGTCCTTGACTGATCGTCTTCATAGTCAGACCTGGTACCGAAGGGGAATATCTAGGCAAAATTCAAAACAAGGGAATGCACGTCAACCATCATTAAACAACGTTTAATAGTTACTGCGGGGACTTATCTAACATTGGTACAATATTCCTCAGAACAACATGGTTCCATTAAACTTAGAAACATATATGACGTACTTGTATTCATACACGTAATATTGGCAATATGTAAAAATTGAACATATGGGTAATAAGCTTTGACGAATTAAATGGCGATAATTTGTTAATATATCTTAATTGACATTAAAATATAGTAAATAATGTAGGTTATATATCAATGAAATGAAATAAAGTCGTTCTCGAATTATATGTGTTTCTCCAACCGTTATTTTGCGATTCTATGAAGGTTCAAAGATAAAACATAATCAGCTACTTACTTATCACTTCAACCTTGACACATACTTCATCTTCAGTTTTGCTAAAAGTTAAAAGAAAAACAATTATATATATGGATTGCAGCGGTTTTGACTAAAATCAAATTCATGTTCTTTTTAGTTAAAAATAAACAAAGAAGTTAAATAGTTAAGTAGAAGCTACGAATAACAAGAGATTATCGTTTTATTCAAATTCTGTTTATTATTCACAGTGCTCATACCACGATAAAATTAATACTAAAGTCGGTTCGTGTTTTATTTTTTTGCCATAACTTTGACAAAATCATTATCTTTTACACGATAAAGTATACAACCCACTCGCTCATTATATAGTGAGTAGATTTTTCATGTGAAAAGTCAGTTTTGTTTTCATAAAATGAAAACGCTTACGTGTTTGAACATTCAGAAAGAAATTTAACACGATTTCCTTTTACGGCTAAATACAGAAGAAAATGAAATTTGCATAATTTTGTAAAGGTTTTCGGCTCCACAAATATCACGAATAGCTATGTATGACGGCTGATTAACTACATGTGTGTAATTTCTAACCTGCTGAGAGTGGCCTGCAGACAGAATCTGAAATCTCCTGCCTTACTTGGAATAGACACAACCTTTCCTTGAAATACGGTAGAAGAACTTGTGAGAGGTATAAAGGAAGGTGTCATGACATTCAGCCGTGGATCATGATATCCCAGAGATACACTTGGACTGAACATGAAAACACATAAATGACATTTATACAATATCTTTACAAAAGCAATATACAAAATACAGTTGAATTCAAAATATGTTCAGTAACTATCAGTAACCATAAACACATTGTTTAGCTATGAAACATTATTCATGCAAAATATTTATAAAAAGATATCAATAAGAGATAGCGAAAACAAGGAATAACTTACGAATGTCCGTTCTTTGAAATTACTTGGAACGGTATATTACATGTCTCGTTTATTACACACTTAACCTCAGACGGCACTGTAAAATCTCCGATGAAACTCTACAAAGATTTAATGATTCTTTTGTAATAATGTAAACTGTCTCAGAATATAATTTCATCCTAGCTTAGTATGACTGATTCAATTTTGGCTCATATCGTTAGTTGATAATGAATCATTTCCACCGCCATTCGCTCTTTCCCTCTTCTCTGCCATGTGCAGAAGTTATCAGTTCCCCCGTGATTCTGAGTGAAAACTATTAGTACCAACACATAAGGTCTTTATTTATTCATTAAGAAAGAACTGATTTATTTTTCACTTTTTTGAAACGTACTGTAGCTTCATTTTTACATGCCTGTAGGTACAATGTCATTATTTTTTTTTATAAAATTTAAAAGCCATTTTTGTGTTACTGCGAAAATACCGTCAGTAATAGACTGTTAATATCAAAACAATTATTCTATACTGGATACTTAAAGAACGTGATTGAAATGTGGAAGCTATCTTTGCATTACCTGTGTCTGTGGCCCCGTCATTGGGCTATCTACTTTAGCTATAAAAGTAATAAAAAATCAAAATGAACTTTATTGGACATAAATCATATTCAATTACAATTGTAGGAAATTCTCCGTTACAAATTCAAAATTAAATTAATTTATGAGACATTGTTTCAATTTGTTTACTAATTTAGAGATTATTTTTTCTGTAACATTCATTCGGATAAAGTAATCTTTATTTGAGAAAACTCCTGAACAAATTAATGTTCGTAGCAAAAAGAGTAAAATATTATCACAGTTTAATTCGAGATAATTGGAATAAAATGAAAATACCTTTTTTGCATTCTGGCCCCGAAAATCCTTTTGAACAGAAGCAAACGGGATTGTTTATGTCATGGCCATCACAAAAGCCTCCATTTTTGCATTCGAGCGTCTGACATCCTTTCTTTACTATAAAACAGACAAATAAATGTTAAAACATTGTTTATTCATATCACTATTTTGCCAGGAGAATGTGTTTAAATTAACGTTTTTATTTAAAAATTCCTCATTCCAAAATTAAGTTAAACAAAACATGTCGCTTAAACCATGTTCAAAGTGTATAGGGAGAAAAACTGATTAAAAATAATATCTATATATTTATTTTATACATTTTAAATGAGAAATTAAACCTTTTGTTGGTACATAAAGTGTTCGTAGCCTACCATAAACTTAAAGTATGAACAGCTAGTTTTAAGTTCTTCATTATTAATAATAATAAATAAATTCAGTATAATGCCTACCAATAGTCGTTTGGTCTTTTACGTGTATGCTAAAACAACGTTTCTCACCATCGTCTGAACTTCTGAGTTGTAAATATACAAAGAAGAAATGAAACAATTTGAAGATTTCAATTTATGCGCTTGCATCGTTTAACATACTTGCCAGTTGAAAAGTAAATTAATTCCATTTTGTATTGGTATTGAAGAAGGATAAATCTGAATGTAGACAACTAAGTCATAATTACAGTATTAAAATAATTAGAGATGAATACGTTTTCTTCGATAAATTTATATTTTTATCAAAAGTATGAATACAGTTTTTTACGGAATTACCCTTTAAGGCCGACTGATAAACAGATCCTCCGAGCAGTGTTTTTGTCCGCAATATTGTTAACTATAGATACATCAACTGTACAGTTACCATTTGTAGCATCGCCACGTTTACATGTATCACACGACGAGAAGAGAAAATAATTCACAAAACCGGAAATTGGATCTACTTTAAACGTCACACTGAAAGTTTATCTTTATTGTCATTGAAACAAGTCTTATAACTTAGTTATAATGATACAACATAATATTTAACATACGATAATATATCTCATATTTAATGATCATATCAAACGTAAAACTGGATTTACTATTTCAAAAAGGTTTTGTCTCTGTTTGTATGTACTTACATCATAATGTCGCGTATTTTCAAGGAATATATCTGAGTATATAAAAAAAGGATATCTTTTTAAGAAGGTAAATTTAATCAAATCGTCAATTTATGCTCAACAACAAACACGATTATTATATCAAGTACCATTCGTTTTCATTTCCAGTGCCAGGAGTTACATGATAGAGCACATGACACGGTCCGCCCGCGACACATTCTACTTCGGCATCCGTGGGCAAACTGGGATCAACAAAATGAGGTCGATCCTAATAAAGATATAGAGGATATTTGTTTGTTTGTATGTAAGATGAAATTTTATCGAATGCGCTTTAAAATAGTATTCTCACGAGTGGCGTTGCCACAAGTGAGAATACTGTTTTTAAAGTTAACGAGAAGAAATAAAATTACATCTTACACAACAAACAAACAAATTTTCTTTTTATTTTATGCTTAAAACAAGTTTAAATGAAATTAACTTAATATTAACTTTTATATTTATTCTGTGTTCTCCACTGGTAGCCTCATTTATTCGAATTTCTCATAAAGTACAAGAAGTCTTAAGCTGACAAATTAGTCGACAATCAACGTTAAATGGCGAAGATATTATTCATTTTATTCAAATAATATAAATGATCGCTTGTTTTGATAATGAAAACAAATAATTCTATATTATTTGACGATTTGTAATTTGAATGAAGTAAGTTTTCTTCTTTTTGATTTTTATTACTTTTGAAATTTCAGTTATTTATCATTTTTGGTTTTGCTTTTTTCTAAACAGACCTGTCAATGTAACAATTGTCAACAATAATAAAATTGAGGAACCACATGGGGAAAATCTTAAAAAGAGTAGGCTCATCATTGAAAAGTGTGAAATTATGTTTTGATAATTTTCACTGTGAAACTATCAAATATTATTTTCACGGATAAATCAGTAATCCACTGAAAAGCATAAAATAAAAGTATAATCTTGAATAATAAATGTCACACATAATTTATTCCACCAACAATGTTCAGTAAGAAATATAACTGCGACAATCGATATCGTGTTTTTAAAAGCCAGACTTGAAAAACAAAAATAAGCGTAAAATACATATTCTTGGCCACAGTAACAATTGAATGTAAACTACATTTTGCAAACCATTTATATAAAAATCAATCACGTGCAGTACTTTGTCATGGTTTTCAAAATTAGTAAAAATTTTAAAGACATACCTTTGACGTGTATATAGAGATGACATCTGAAAAGAAATGTTAAAAGATTTTAATTACAAATGAACTTATTAAGCAGTTACATCTATCATTATGGTCATGTTCTAGATTCGAATTATTAAGTATGGTTGCCGGTTCCGGCCATTTCAAACCCGCGAGAGATTTTTATCGTTTTATCATAAGGAACTGAAAAATATCCGCCATATTTTTTGCAAGTATTGTAGAAATTCTACAAAATGTTGCGGGGGAATATTACAGGCCGTTATTTTTCACTCCTTACCAACGGTCTCATCAAATATCGAGACAAATGATTGCAATTTTCAGGTGCGACTATTTGCGCAGATACATTTCCCGGAACAAAAAGGGCTTAATGCTCAAACTCGACTTTTTCGAGGAAATATTAGTTTAAACATATTCATTCAATATATTTACATTATGATAAACAATATTGGCATTATACATTTTTGGGATTGGGCAGAAAGCTATTAAGCCTATGAGTGTCCTGTCCAAGTTAAAACAGTTTACACAAATACATTTCATGGGAGACATTTTGCAAAAAACATATATTTATCAAATGGTCAAAGGAAAATAAAAAAAGTAAAAGTCGGTTATAATAAGACAGACAAATTTTAGTTCAATAACTTTAACTCGTATACTTTTTGTCGTGGGGCTTGCGTCCTGTGAACGTCGCCTTTGCCTTGTTGATCTTTATTCTCAGTTTTAAATACAATTCTTTTAAAGACTTTGTTCAAAGTACCAATGACAGATATGGGTCGGTAGTTATTAACTTAAGAAGGAAAGAGAAGACACATTTGTTTCTTTACATAGGTCTGAAACTTGAGCAATCTGAAAAGAATAATTTGAAAGAAAACTTAGAGGACCTCTAAGTTCATGAAAGAGTTCATGAAGGATTTGAATGTTGTCGTCGTCAAGGCCGGCAGTTTTTTCCAAAGGAAAGAGCTTTTAATACCCCTTCCAACTCATCTTGTGTTATATCTATATCATCCAGATGGTGAGTAATTGTAGGTAAATCAGGAAGACTGGGAACTTTACTTTCGGCAATGCGTATCTGAGTGACAAAAAAAAAGTCGTTCATGAAGTTGGCCATTTCAACGTTTTCAGATATTTTAGTGTTGTTGTCAGAAGTCGGTGGGACTATTGAGGTAAAATATGATTTGATAAATGCGCTTTCCTTTTTGATCCTGTTTATCATATTTTGAGAAGAGACCACCATTTTTTAAAATTTCGATATTTTGTTTCTTTGCTACGCGAATCTTTGATATGATTTGATTTGTCAGATATCGAAACCGTGTCAAGTAATACGATGAATCGGCATGCTTTGCTTAAGGATACAGTCGTTTTCTAAAAAGAAACCTTAAGTCGTTTCTAAACCAAGCAGGCTCGTTATATCCGATCGAGACTTTTCTATAAAGGATACATTTCTTCGAGACATTGATTATGTTGCTTGTTATGTTGTTAGTGTATACGTTTATATCTTCGTTTTTAAGGGAATCCGAATAATTTACAGAGGCCAAATGTCTTTGTAAATCGTATTTATCCTTATAGAATATCCAAATATTTCGATAAAAACAAAGCCGCTTCTGTTTTTTCAGGTTAAGTGAACAGTATATTAACAGTGATACCTGATGTCCTTCTGGAGGAAATCATCGCTAACTCCGCTAGTAAGAATGAGATGTTTTTAGAAGTGATTATATGGTCAATTACTGACAAAGAAGATGCAGTGAAAGGATAGGTGAGTCAATTATCTGATGCAATGACAACTGGCAACATATATCTTTGATTTTCTTAAAAGAAGTACTATGCATTACATTTAGGTTAAAATCTCCCATAACTAAGATATTATCCTGTATAAATAGACTGATGCATAGCGTCTAAAATCAAGGCATGTCATAGGTGTTTGCTATGTTTTGGGGTCTACTGTAAACTCCGAAGAGAATATTTTTATTTGAAAAATAAATTCCGATCTAGAGGCATTTTGTTCCGTTAATTTCAAGATCTTCTCTTCTTTTAGTCTTTTGTAGTGGATGTAATTCTTAACATAAAGTATAACAAACCCGTGGTTATCGACACGATACTTTCTTTCGGGATTTGCAAATGAGTGGAGAAAGACATCTGAAGTTGAGGGCAAACATAGAGAAAATAGCAAACCAAGGTTTGTTCTTGTTGCTGGGTCATATGGGGGTTGCGTTCTTTGAACGCCGCCTTTCCTTGTTGATCTTATGTATTATATTTTGAAAAATACAGAGAATCAAAATATTGGAGTAGATGATATCAAGTTCTTGGGCAATGGCCAAAGTAAAAACTTGGGAGTTTGTATAAGTCGCGCCATATGTGTAATATTGTCTTAAAACCTCGCAGATTAAATATTTGCCCGCAACATTATATAAACTGACGCAAACAATACTCGAGGCTTCAAAATGGACGCTACCGGCCAAAAATTAAGTTATCCGTAATAATTATCAAAATATAAAAATGCACGTATTTCTGAAAAGTATACTCGTATTTCAACGTATACTATAAACGTTTTATTTTCTAAAATGTACAGATGAATCTAATTCGCTAATCATACAACTGTTTTCTAAATTACTCACCAGAAACGATATCGACCTCAGTACACAGCTCGTCTTTGTTAACTCTGTCAACATTATAAACTTCTTAGTTAAAAGCAATAGCAAGAGGGAAAATCACGCCGTTCGTAACCCGAACAAATAAGATGGAGGATGCAGCCGAAAAGTTAGTTTTTCCTTTTCTTCTGTGAAATTCGTGATGTTCTTGTTTAAAGGTACATACATGTATAATAACCTCCACAATTTTCCGGACAGAATTTTTTCCATGATATTTCGTCCCGTACTTCATTTGAAATGCACGTCACCAGAATCGAAGCGAGATAATTGATCGTGAAAACGAACGGCTTTTTCTCTAAAACTCACTGTTTCCTTCACATATAAGTGTATGAATTGAAACCACTGACTTTAAAAAGTTGTAATGTGTCGTCATCTTAGCATCCATGCCCATTCTGGCTAGAATAACCACTGTAAATGTTAATACAAGGGCATTTTGAGGAAATGATAACGTATGGCGCAAATAATATCAATGATGACGTACGGCGCATATTTCCGTTTGTCTAATCAGCTGATAATGAATTATTTGTATGTAGGAAATGACATGTATGAAAAAATGTTTGTCAGTTCAGAAATAAATAACTGAACAATGCTGCATCATCGTCCTTCTAGCTGGCATAATTTAGATATTCGTTGTCAAAATACTAACCTTTATCTACCAATCAAAACACACATGTATAGATTGAGAATATGTATGTATAGAATGGAAAGATAAGCCTACAATTTCAGGAAACATTTATGTATTGTTGTCTTCACATTAAAGTTCGCCAGTGTTGTGCGATAATTGTGGTCTTATTTCCTTATCAGAAAGAAGAAACGCATTCAGCTGAGCAAAAGTGTTTAAGAGGTACAGACGGCTTAATTTATATTCTTTTCCAAAGAAAAAGTCTAAAATAATTTCTAAAATATGATAAACAAGATCATCAAGGAAAGGCGGCGTTCAACGCCTCTAGACATTTTTGATAATAAGGAAATCTTAATATATGAACAGCGTCAAATAAACAAAACGAAAAGTGATTACTAGCTTACATCCAGTTGAGATCAGACTTTGTTTATTCAATCTAGTCCCTCATTAAAACAAAAATAAATAAACAGAGAATAAGGAATGAGTGAAGGTTCTCTATTGAAATTACTGAATGAGTTAAAAATTAAGTTCAAAAATTTAGTAAATAAGAAATTTCCTATATATTTGACGGGCGGTTAATATTGAAACGTGACGTTGTGCCACTATGACGTCAGATTTTTGCAAAACCTAGCCATACAGTTTTTTTTATTATAAATAAAATTCATAATTGGCCCCATTGCTTCGTACATACAATGAACTATAAATACACGTTGAGTTTTAAAAAAAATAATATCTAGCGTTAATAATCCATGACACGAATGAAATTTTGTACAGAATACACATTTTTGTGTACTGATTTTATAAACGAAGACAACTCTTATGAGTTATTGATGTTATGTCGTGAAATGGACTATCATAAATATTATCGTTTATGTTAACGGTTATATAACACACGAGAAGAATTTATTGTTTTCCTTCTTCCACGAGATTAAAATGCCGTTATAATTGTAATATTTCCCTCAAAACACTTGTAATACAAAGCCAATGCTTACAAAATAAAGCGTTGTCAAAACGTTTGAAAAATATAGCAGAATGAAAGTGCCAAAAAAAATAACCTTTTTATTTAATTAAATTATCAAAGAAATGGTTACAAATCCCCTTGCTTGCAACGCAACTGCAATTGTTCAGCGCGCAGGAATATATTTATTATAGATGCGTCTTGTTTTGCACGCGATGTTTGGCGCTACATTGTGACGTCACGTAAACAACTCTTTAAACGTCTGGACAACGTTAATGACTGAATTAAAGTTATTGGTGTTCGAATTTATTTTCTTAGACCATTTTCTATCATTCTAGATAGTTTTCATAACAAAACAGAAAAAGTTTTTGTATTTATAGATTTCTCGAACAAAGTGGCAAAAGAAGTCACTTAAAATAAATATGAGTTTTGACTCCGCCCACTTTCACATTTATATTTCATATTTATTTTTAAAAACTATGAAATATATTTGACTGATATAGCACATATTTCATGGGTAAAATTAAATAATAATATTTACAGCGGTTATTCTAGCCAGAATTGGCATGAATGCCTCGATGACGACATATTATAACTTTTTAAAGTCATTGGTTTCAAGATGTTATATTTTCGATCCTTGAAGATCGTTTAGCACGACATAATTGTTGTGTTTACATGTCATGTGGTATTTTTAGTTTCTTCTATTTGGCCTTTTTCAACTTGAGTGGTTCCAGTATTCCTACTTGAATACTGTCTAATCACCCTTAGGATATGTTGCCTGCTTTTTAAATTGTCTTTTGACGTCTTTTATCACACACCCGTGCCGATTTTGCGACTCCGTAAATATGGTATTGCACGGCCGTGCATATATTTTGACGTGACGTCATTAGCGTTATACAAACATAGTGTAAAGACGCGCTAAATGTTAGCGTTATACTATAGGCGCGTCAATGAAAAATGACTCTTATTTCACTTTAAACGGTCTTTACTTTGGGTATGTGATAAAAAGAATATTAAATTCGTGTAAGTTCATTGCTTAATTTATTGCACTCGTTGAATAAAATAATATTATGCTCGCCAGAGGCTCGCATAATATAATTTTATTCAACTCGTGCAATAAATTCAGTATTGAACTTACACTCATTCAATATCCTCTATATCTGTGATATGCAGGCTTCATAACCTCAGATCCCCTTTCAAAATTCCATTTTATTTAGTTCCGCCCATTGTTTTCTCATTTAGGACACACGCATATTTTACTTGGGGACCATACGCCGCTTTTCATGGAATGGTACTTACGTGTCACATTGAAGGTTCAATGATAACTGTCATATGAACACATCTGCGGACGTTTCAAAATTGTACAAGTTCGTGTTAAATGTTGAATACTGCTTAAGCCGGTGCTATGGGGCGTGGATGGTAACTTGCACTTTCCAGTATTGTCCATGAACAGGCTGAATCAAACCGAGCCTGCAACATTTTCAATTTTGCCGTGTTGGGCTTTCTTAAGGGATTCTGTTTTTCTCTATTTTTTCAGTTAATATACATAAATGTAAACGAAACAGTGAATTTTAGAGAAGAAGCCGTTCGTTACCACGACCAAAGCGTTGGAAAATTCTCTCGCTTCGAATCTGGTGACGCGCATTTCAGATAAAGTTCGGGCAAAAAATCATGAAAAAAAGCTTGTGTGACCGGAAGATTGTATAGAAGGTTATTCTATGTACTTTTACACTAGAACAGCACGAAGAAAAAAGGGAAAAACTTACTTTTCGGCTGCATCCGCCATTTGTTTGTTTCGGTAACATACGGCGTGATTCTCCCCCGTGAATATATGCAGTTTATACATTTGGAAACGTTAATGATATACATTTATATATCATTAATGGATAAATTCAATTTAATTTTTGTGTTTATCGTTTGATTGTTTATTTGCTTAGTTTATTATGACGTTATTATAATATATAAACTCAGCTGCTGTTAATCTATGTGGTATGTTTCGGTTTTCTTAAACAAGAGGCATTAATGAAGGCGATTAAAACCCCCACTTTCTAACATGATATTTAATTTGGGCCGTGTAAGTATTTTGAATGCCCACTTACAAAGTCCATTTCTTTGAGTATAGTTATCATTAAAGTTGTTTAACACCTAAAATTACCGGCTTGTCACTGATATATGGAAACAACGAGAAACAAAGGCCACATTTAGGAAGTACAAAATGTATTGATATCCTGCTTATATACATTAACTTTGCATTAGATTTTATTTTAATCGGAAAATGGTCAGAACATGTTCAAAATTAACAACCTGAAATGTGATTTTGTCTCGACCTATACTTAATGATGTTACACATGTGTATCAAATATTGTTACAATTCATTAAAAAAAGGAAAGACTTATCATATAAAAACTTTATTTTGAAGGGCCTCCACTGAGGTTTTTTGACATGACAATTCTGGAAATATTTTGATGAGATTTTTAATTTATTTGATGTAGATCTATACTAATAACTTGTGAGCAAAATTCCGTTTTTCCAAAATAATAATTATAATAGTGAAAAAAATGACCCAAAACTGTAAAGCGTTTAAACGCTTTTCACTCGAATCGGACAGAGAATATCACAACCATTAGATTTTCAATGTATGTCTTGTATGTTTCTTAGTTATATTTTATTTACATTTTTGTTATTAGTGCTCATGTTGATGTATGTGAGAAATTAAAAATTTATGATTTAAGGCTTATTAACCTCAGTGGAGTTACTTTATCTCGATTATTACATTGTGATTTTACACCTGTGAATTCATATATTATTACAATTAATTGCCTCATTTGTGTTAGAAAAATTGAAGATTAAAAGGCAATAACTATGTAAAAAGTATTCGTCTGAAACTAAATCTGAACTCGACCTGTATTTATGAGGTAACATATAGATATGATAAATTAAAAACGAAAGTAATGGAAAAATGAGTCTTTGACTCATAATGTTTGTATTTCAGCATGCATTTGATTTGTAATTATAAAGGTAGCCCCTTGTTACTTTAGACTTATACTATAGACAAGAAATTAAAATTGGAAACCATTTCCTTCAACTTAAAAAAGGCCAACCGATAAACTACAACGCGACTCTTACACGTGCCTTTCAAATCGTTATACTATTATTCAAATACACACATCATAAGCTTCAATAATCATATATCATACCCATTAATGTCCTTCGTCTGAATACACAAAACCTTCAAACCCAACTGTGTAGATTTTAATCTGATATTAGCTTGATAACTATTTTGAATTGGTAATCTATCAAGAATCTCGATTTCTTCCAACAACAGCGATGGATCAACATACCCTGCAGATACATTGGGTCTACAAAACAAGAATAAGCAAAAGAAAAATTTATAACTCTTCTAAAATATTGTAAGAAGGGACTGCATTTGACACACAGTATATTAGGCTTTGTTTGCATAGTAATTAATCGGACACTTATAACATATCATTTATGTTTTTGTTTCATACAAGTTTAATTATGGACAAAATAATCAGGAGAGTATAACATAAGTTTGGACATACTAATCTAAAATAAAACAAAAAACAACTTACGCATAGTTTGAACGTTCGCTGACAATCAAAGCAAAACTACACTTCTGGTTCAAAACACAGGAAATACGCCTTGGTCTAGCTATGTCAGTAAATGACTGCAAAAAGTAAATATGGTAAACATCAGAGTTCAAAAATCATCAGCAGTTGATAAAATATGACTACACGACTTATAAAATACATTTTCACTATAATTTACCAACATCATTAAATCAAGCATTTCTTGTTAATTATTTACTGTTAAAACACACTGAATGATAAAATTTTAAAGAAAAAAATAATATAACTTACAGAAGACACGGCTGAAACTCGTGCCGAAACTGCAATAAGATAAAATAACAAGTGTTTACCGGGAAACTTTGGCAATTAATCCATTAAACCGGAATAATATATTATCTAGAACATAGAATCATGTAATTGGTGCGTGTTTTTTATTCACGCTTTTGCTTTTGAAGTCTTAATTAAGTTATATACATAACGGTAATTTATGCTCTACGAAATTTAAAAGAGTCAGCTAAGAACGTACCTATGCTGCAGTTTGGGCCTGAGAACCCAGCCTTACATATACATGTAGCGACGCCACTATCTGTTTGACAATATGCTTCATTTTTGCAGTTATTGTCCTCCTTTTGACAGGGTCCTAATATAAACGGTTAATAGTAATTGGCAATTGAAACATGCGCTACAATAATTGATAATATTAAAGTTGCATTCCTCTAGAGGAGCCAAAATATTTTGAGAAAATAAAACATGAGAAAAATGTACTAAGATTTTAAGAAAAGTAAAAAGTAAATATATTTAAGATTCAAGTAATAATTTACATGTTTTGTGCGATTATGACTGGTTTCATGGTTTTTTATCATCATATTTTAGTGAGGGCTATTTTTGCTTATTTTGGTCACTTTTTGGTACTTCACGTGGATTGAAATTGTTGTTTGTAATGTGTTTATTATTTTCTTTGATTACTTCACAATATTTTATGTTGAATACATATCTAGAATTTTCATGAAAATTTGAGTAAATCTGGAGGACTACATGCTGACTAACTAATAGGTTATAAACAGAAGCGTCAATGCATTGTATTTAAATGTTTAATTTCGTGTGATATGTTACTTATATTGATATCGTAAGACTCCTTGAAAAGAAAAATGAAATAATCCATGAAAATGAAACTAAGATAAAAAATTCATCAAAATGAAACTGAGATAAATTTTATCACCTTTACTGTTTACTCCATGTCAACGACACAAGAATAAAGGATAAGTTAACATTTTACATGTTGTAACTTCAATAATATAGTAACAAATGCTTAATTATGCATGTGCATATCAAAAACGCAAAAGCCATACTTGCCTTGTTGGCATTTATCACCTATATACTTGTCTGGACATATACAAGTAAAATTGTCGTGACCGGCGTGTAAGCATTGTCCGTTGTTCTGGCAAGGCGAACTGAAGCACGGTTCTATTAAATGTATGCAAAATAAAAACTTATGTAAAAAATGCAACTGCATACGAATATTAATGTCCTTCATTTTAATATGCATTCCTAAATAAATTTATCTCGCTATCTGAACATAAAGACGTCAGTGACATACATCTAATATAACAATAAACGACAAATATTGACAAAATGCCTAAAGCAAATTTACTAGAATCAAAACTTTGTTGCAGCTTTTCAGTCCTATCAAAATAAAACAGATTAAAATATATGTTAGATCGGATTTACCTGTTGTATGAGCGTACACACCGATTGTGTAACACAAGTGTTGGTATATGGAAATACTGAAAAAATTATACGATATTTAGATAAAATCAAATCATGGTGTCCATTAAATCAGAAAAAAATAGTAAATTATCTGCATATGACCTATAATAATCAATTTCAAATTATATTTTCATCTGACTATGTTACTTTAAGGCATAATGGGTAACTTTAAAAAGAACTAGCGCGATACAGATCCTTTACATTTCGACATATAAATATAAAAATCTTAACATACTTAAAGCAAACAAGGGAAAAAGGATAAATATCTATTATCATATCATCCTTGTTAAGACGTTAGTCTTAAAGGAACTCCACTTAGGTTTATAAGCCTAAAAACATATAATTTTACTTTCTCACATAGATCAACTGGGGCCTTTAAAATAGAAATGTAAATAAAATATAACTTAAAATACTCAGAAATAAATTGAAAATTGTATGTTTGTGCTATTCTCAGTCCGATTTGTGTGAAAATAGTTGCAACATTATTCGAATTTGGGTCCTTTTTTAACAATTAGAAAAATTATTCTGGAAAAACGGAGGAGCTAAAGACCCTTTTTCAAGTTGTCGCCCTTGGATGACGTCATTGGGGGATACGGTGGACAATGCCGATACGATTAAGTACAGTAATAGAGGGATATTAAGATCTTTATCCTTTCTCTTGTAAGATTGGCAGATTGAAATTGCCAAAATTTTGTGTAATTGAATAAGATATTACATAAAAACGATGGTAAAATGAATAAAAATGTTAACTATAATAAGGTTAACGATTTGTTTTAATAGTAGACCATATTGCTGGGAAACTGATCATGATTACCATTTTCGTTAGATTCTTAATAATGAAAATTTTACCAGGCAGTTAAATCGTACTAACTTGCTAATACCAGAGATATAGATAATGTCTATGTCATTGCTAATATACAATACCCAAAAGATATTTTGGGTTTCAAAAATGTAAGGATTCTGTAGTTTCGTAAAACGGCCGCGAAATAATTAAATGCAAGGTACTGGTTTATTAAAAATTATTTTGATTTAAGCATTACTAAGACAAAGGAAAACAACAATATAAATCTATGTAATTTAAAAAAAAATATGTAAAGGCATAAATAGTTAAAATTCTTTTGTATGTACATGCGTGACGTTATACTGTATACTATTTGTGTCGGCATTTAAATTTATAATAGGCAATTTCAGTGTGTATGGGTGTTTATAGAATATTAAAATTTGATTTAGTTACCATAGCTTTTTTATCCAAGCATAAGAGAAAATCTAGATCTGATAAATATATTCACTTTGAAATTTCGCTGTTTCACTCCGTAGCGAGAATAAATCTCAATCTTTGTTTTTGTATTGTTTTTATTGAATTTATGTATGCATGCGTAAATTGTAACATGAAATAATCTTAATTGAACGATCAGTATTTACGCATTTAACTTTTCAATAAGCTAACAGTCTATGCGGCCTGCATAGTTTTATCCCCCATTTACGTCGGATCCGGTAAGGGAAGTTACTCTTCCCTGACTGTTATCGCTTAAATGAAAGGGTCTATAGATCTGAAATTCTGCACATAAGTTGTTGATATAGACCTAAAAATCTCAGTGGAGTCCTTTTAACCCTTTACTTCATATATACGTGTTTTGACGGCTTTTCGACCACACTTTTCGAGCCCTCAAACAGTGAAACATTACTATTTTAGACCACGAACACTGTTTTTCGTTCGGGAAAAGTTGCTTAAAAAGTGATCATATTTTTCGGCGCCGCCCCTATCAAATCAGGGGTTTGCCAGGAAGGGATGTGCCCCCTTCTGTTTGAGAGGGAGGGGGTTTGTAGGAGGCGGTAGCCCCCCTCATTGCCAAGAAAATTTTGGACTTGTGAGAGGCTAAAAGTGACCCCAGGTCGATCATAAGATAATGTGTAACCAACACTGAAAAGCCTTTGACTCTATCTCAATCCATTGAGAAGTTGCAGCACTTTGAAATCAATTTTGATGGAAAGAAATCAACACAAAATAGTGTTTTTTGGCAAATGGGAGATGTCCCCTTGTTGTCATGGTAACAGGAAATTTAAGACTGAGTATGTCGTTACAAAGGCAATGGTCAAGTCAACATTTGTGCCTGAAGCATTTTTTATAGCTTCATAGCAGTTTAAATTTGAAACAGGAGGCTTTTCAATGAAAACGGCCAATTTTCACAATATGCTCATGAGGGAAAAGGTTGAGAAAGAAACCTAGTTATTATGGAAGAACTTTAGTGTAAATAGCTGTAAACGATGGCTGTCAAATAATTCAAAGACAACGGCGTTTTAATACAAAAATTCGACCACTGTTAAAAATATTTTTACTTTACTCAAACTGAGTGTACTTTCAAAACTATTCACGATATTATTTATTTTACTTACACTGAACAAAATATAAGAGTACCTGGTAATGCAATAAGACCCACGTTCAAACGTCATAGTTTCACAGATTCAAACTTTTTTAATCTGACCTTAGGTGCAATTAGCACAAAAATCAAAAAGGAAAAAAAAAGAAAGAAACAATGAAAGCATCTGCTTGGCTGCATCAACGGTAAAGGTCAATCTTTCATGTTGCTCATATGAGCACTGTATGTAATAAAAACAGTACTATAAATGCAGTTGCATTTAAATCTGGAAACAAAGTGATCCCTCGGAAGCATTTTTACAACAAAATTACATAAGAATTGCAGACTCGGTTTGATTGAGTCTGTACATGAGGGATAATAAATGAGTGCAACATCCCTCGCGCCCCTAGCACTTGCTTGAGCGGTACTCAATTCTCAACACTTAATAGTGCTGGCATCAATGATCCCGAAGGACCAGAAAAATATAACAACGCTGAAGTGAAGTTATGATATATAACGTCAGACATACGGCACATGTCACATTAGTCAGATTCTTTCAAGTAATGGTATTCTGTTTTGAAAACATTGTGTTTGGTTTGTAAATTGACGATATTTGATGTGGATCTCATACGCACTCCTGAGGTAGGTATATTATTGGTTTAATATTTCATATGTTACCTGTTCTGTTTTTTTTCTTTATCTTGATAGAAATACACTTTTGTTACATTAATTTTAGGCTCGGGACGATTATAGATTGTGTTTTACAATGATTACCCAAGACTTAGTGGGACAAACCTTGTATTTGCTGATGTTATATTGTAAAATTTATTTTTATATTGTGATTCAATTTTTACAGAATAAAAAGAAAATTGTCAGTACAACTTCATCTTATAGAGAACAGGTTATGCGTGTGTGAAATCATTGCAAAAACCCTTTGAAATAGAAACAACTGTTTTTGTTCCGGAACATTTTATTCCGTTCGCTTAAAACATTCATTTAAATTATATAACACAGCCGTTCAATGTAATCAGTCTTTTGCATAAGAACATAAGATTATGAAGTGTTTTAATCAGTAAAATTATTTACTTGATACTTAAAGTTACCAAGTACCAAACATGTAGATAAAAAACAAACAAGAATAGCCATACCCGGACTGAAAACACAACTGTTTTTCTCCAGGACTGTTATAAACAACTATAGCTTCTGTAACACATGATTGTCCACGTGCATGTGCACTATAAACTGTCACTCCGTCAGTTGAAGATATAACATCTTCGCTACGAATAATAAACGACGTTTTAATTTTCTACTGACACAGCAGAAAATAACTTTACGTGCTGTTGATAATGTGGTTCATGTAGAACATAATATTTAACAAGGCATATCATGCACAACATAATACATTTTCTTTTTCAGAAAAGAAGTAAAAAAATAAAAAGAAATATATAAATACAGATAGTATATTAAGTATATCCTTATTTTCAATTATTTATTTAGCAATTTAAACGTACCTATCAAACTGGATTGTAAAGAACTTAAATCAGTGCAGGACAATAACTCTTTATTCTCATCCATGTATGCTTAATGACGTCATTCTTGTACAATTTAAAGATTTATTTGCTTTCTGGATGGCGTCATTACACTGCTTATTGATGGTCATAAACATGTTTAATGTGCCTATGTTTATTTATTTTATCTGAGGGAGCAAATGTAAACAATAACAGCCAGTGTTAATTGCGTTTTACAACGGTCATTTTTTTCTTTGTGTTAAGCAACAAAATCAAGAATCATGTCAGAATAGATGTTTATCTAACGTGCGGGTATTTAAGTATTTTAGCTTGATTACCAGCATGGGGAATTCGCTCTTCCTGTTAGATCTGTATCGTCAGCATCGTTATCTTTATCATCTTCATCACATTGGCTACTCGATATTGTTCCACTAACAGATCCACCAGTAGCTAATGTTGTTTTCATCTCGCAGGAAGCCCTATGAGAATATAAATTATTCAGAAGCTTTATGAATAAGGATTCTAGTTTTACTTATGTTAAGATAATTCTTTAACGTGTAATATTTTTAACATAATCCCACCATTTTATGCACACAGTACACACATTACTCTTTTTGGCAAATAATTAAGAACAAATTGATGAAGTATCAGATCTCGTTACTTTGCTTTTAATAAGAACAATAATTGTTCTCAAAGCAATGTACATTACATTCATGCTTTACTTATAATGTTTTAAAGTAATCAAAACCCTTTTAAAAGTATACAAAGATCACACATACCGTTTAGAAACGATTGTTGTGTACAACAGAACTTGACAGCTCGCCCCAACGCTACATATAATTCTACTGTGATCTTTCAAAGTTGGTGATTCGAACTTTACAGTTGCCTATAAATGGCAATTAGTACAACTATAGTGATTTGGTATTTTGTATGGAAGTCAAAATACTACTTTGTTAACATTTTGCTACTTTTTAAGTCAAATATTTATGTCATATTTATGTCATATTTTTCTTTTCGAAAATATATTTAATTTTCTTTTCGTTTCTCTGACATCATGCGCCTTTAATCATTTTTGTCAAAAAATATTTTCTTAATACAATCATATAAAAACTGATAATTGAACAATTATCTTACCATTAATTATTTTTGAAATGTCAAGAACAAAAGGTTTCACTAATTCATCTAATAAGTCAATGGTACAGGGATTGCTTTAACCTTTGGCTTGAGGCATTAATATTTTTTTCAATTAAACACAGTCGAAAAAGCAAAATGTACGTTTAATTGTCATGATTGCTGTTTCATAATCTTTCCGTAAACCATATGTATATTTACATTCTGCAAAAAGCGACATGGTTAATTTAAAGCTTCAGCAGTGTGAACTTACATTCTTCTCGCTATACGCTCGAGTAGAAGTATCTGTTTCAGCTAAATGAGATAAATATAAAACATGATATCAATGAAAATATTTCGGTACAATATATGTAGTACAAAAATCAAACGTTTAGCATTTCATGTCTTTTTATTTATATTTTTAAAGGGTAAATTAAAAAAAAACAACAACACATTAAACAGAACCCCAAAAGAACGTTCATACAGCGAAATTAAGAATGTTGCAAGCTTGGTTTGACTAAATCTGTTAAAGGACTGCACTTGTGACTGAAAGGCAATCACCCTTATACGCCCCATTGCACCGACGTAAGCAGAATTTGACATTTAAACATAAAAAAAATAGTGACATTATTTAGTCATATTTATAAGGAACATAAATAATACTAAAACTAATTCACGGATGCTTTACATCTTTTCCTGTATTAAAATTGTACTTGAGCAGGATATGATACACTGAAGTAGCAATTCATCTTGATAATCTTTACTTTGCATATATGGTATGTCTACTTTTCTTATGTAAGATAATATATCTTTGTAAATAAACCGACATTTCCTTCTTTGTAAATACATTATCGTAGCGTACATTAATTTTGGTCTAAATTAGTATTTTTAATCCATGTAATGTAAATTCAACAGAGCTTTTTCAGTTATTATGACAAAGCTTTAAGGCCATATCTCTAATGCGTTGCATTAAAGTCAAGATGTAACACATTAAGCAGTTGAAACGTACTGAATTCGCCAATTAAATACACTTAGGCCAGTAGAGATCAATAAAAGAGAGATAAATATTATCATAATAACTAGCTTTTTTCCAAATTTCATTTCTTTTATTCTGTGTAAAGAACTGTTTAACTTTACATCTCACCTCGAGTCATAAGACAATAACGTGCATTGTACATTTTTTTTATCTGAACAAATTTTGCTATCTTTATATTTTGATGTAGAATCTCACTCCAGCCAGCGCTGGCTGTGTTCCATGGTGCTAGGGCCTTTTTACCTGATGCTAGAGTACATTAATGGTTATTATAATACACTAACACCGTCTATGAAAAACCCTAATACGTATGTTACTAAGTATAGTAACAGATTACTATGTATTGTAACAGATTTTAAGGTATTTCAATTTTTACAAACGGATATTAAGCACCAATATAACATTTTATCATTGGAAACACCTCTACTATATACAACGATATTTACAGTTAAAAGTTGTTTTGTGTATCACAGTTTTTGTCATATTTTTTCATGTCCTACAGAATTATTGATTCCATTAGTTTTATTGAGGATTGACTACCGCTTAAATCAATGCAAAGAGTGAAAGAGATATTACACTTTTCATAATCAAACCGAGTCTGTAGATTTCACGTTTTTACTACTTTTTTAATTGATCAAGAGAAATCCAAACAACTCTGTTTCCAAACCTTTTGAAGAATCCAAGATTGTGTAAGACAGAAACATTCCTAGAATATGGGTATTGAGATCATCATCGTTTTTAACATTTTAAAGAAGAATTGAGTGAATTTTCTCACATCAATAAATAAAAATATACTAGAGAACTGTCTGATTAATTTCCTATAAACATGCTATGAGTTTGTTTCAGATGGTTATGTGAAATTAGCACTTACGATTAGGGATAATGCTTATTCCATAACATGCCTTAGACATTCTGAAAGATAAATTTGAAGAAAGCTCGTTATATAATAAACAAAAACATTGAAAACACAGCTATAATCTACTAAACATCAAATAAGGGCCAGCTTGGTCACGCGATTTTGTTAATAATGCTTGTATTTATTTTCGCATTTTACCCGAACCATATGTCAAAAATAATTAAAAAAGTCCGCCATTTAGTATAATTTTTGTTCACACATGAGGTAAAAATTGTAGCGTTTTATCAAGCTATTCGGGCTGGCTATAGATATGAAAGAAATAAAAAGAATAAAACTGATTTAGAATGAAACTCAATATTGTCAGGAAATATGAAATGATTAACAACAAAAAGGCGACGTTCTATGAACGCAGGAAAGTGTTCGTTTGGTGAGCAAATCACCGGCTATGTGAAAAAATAAAAATGCAGGAAGTTGAGGAAAATGATATGCTTTCTTGTAAAGCGTTTAATAACAACAAAGGTTTGCAAACATAAATACGACAGTCTTAGAGAGGTCAGCATCCCAGGAAAAAGCAAGTTTTAATGAGGTCCGCTACCTAGGAAAGAGTCGTAGAAATTCACATGTCTAGTTGCGTAGCAGTCAAGGTTGCGCAGAAAGACCAATGAGTGAAATAGAAAATATTAAGTCTAGGTTGCGTAGCATATGCGATATTGAAACAAATTTATAGCTATAGCAAGTCTAAAAATGCAGCACGTACAAGAGGCACAACAAGTTCAAGGTGTGCAGCAAATACTAAATACCGAATCAAGACCAGGGAGTGCAGCAATTCATAAGCAATAAATAGTCACTGGTACCGGCCGGAATATCAATAAAAGATTTCAGTGATATTTGCTTTAAAAGACGAAATAAGAGTGCCAAGCCACAGAAAAAGGAGTGAGGTAAATGAAGACAAATTGAAATTGAAGTTTTCCTCATGAGATGGAGGAAAAAGATCCAAGAAAGTAATCAGGTTTGCAATCAGATCAGTCAAAAATGAGAGGAAAACACTTTAGTCACGAGTTTATGAGTTTAAGGTAATAACTATTACGGCAACGTCTCAAATATTTACAAGTTTGTCTATAAGGTAGCCCATGAATATAAAACTGTTAGGAAGAGATTTTTGAAACATGACATGTTGAAGGAAGCAGGTGTCAGTGAAAAGCTCAGATGGAACAGACCACATCCAGTTGAGTATGTTTCCGAATTCCTTGGAAGGTAGAAACAATATTTCATAAAATAGTCAGATCTAGATGGAGCAGAGCAGACATTCAATGAGATAAGTGACACACCGTACAATCAAATGGGCAGACAGCTGTTCCAGCGTCGACAGCTGTACCAGTATATACATGTCGGCGCGAGGAATACAATTGACGTACGGTAAGTATTCATCTATTTTAACATATCCCAACTGTGTTCGAGTAAATCAATGTTATGGATTCATAGTCAACATCCAAAGGAGCATGCTAACACATTTCTGGCCCTGTGATAGCTTTACTTCACGTGAAGTTTGACTGAAAATAACCACACTATCCGATGAGATGCGGTATTTTTAGTTTAAAGTCACAAAAACTTATATTTTCTCATGATAATAAATACTTTTTTCATAAGATTCGTAAACGTCAACATTTCGTCATTAAATATTCCAAACCATACCTCCAAAAAAGCTTTTTTTGTTAAAGTTATAAGGTATTTAAGTTTGAGTGTCATCAAAATTTTATTAACGTCATCAGCTGCTTAGAAAGTCATAATAAAAATAATATAATTAGAAAGTATCATGAATAAAGTAATATTTTAAATGAACAAAAAAGTTTTACTCTGTCCAAGTAACTGTGGCACAAAAGCGCTGAAAATTGTTTCTTTGAACGGATTTCAGCGTTATTCATTCTTGCTGATGAATTGCTGTCGATGTTATCATTAAAAAGAGGCGAACAGCTGATGACGTTACTAAAATTTTGATGTACTCAAACTTAAATAACTTAAACACAACTAGAAATGTGTCCATAGGACACGGATGCCCCCACACGCCACTGTTCTGTCAATCTTATGACTCTAGGTCAAATATTTTTTGGACTACATGTGCCACAAGTTGAAAACTAAAAATCAACAAAGGGCCATAATTCTGTTAAATTTGGTCGCAGCAAAAATTCCTTCCTTTACTACCATCTACACATAAAGGTTGTTCATCCCTGGAAGTTTAAGCAAAATCTGCCATCCGGTTTAAGAGGAGTTGCGTTCACAAAATTTCTACATAGTATATAATGAAAAAATCAACAAAGGGTCATAATTCTGTTAAATTTGGTTGCAGCAAAAATCCCTTCCTTTACTGCCATCTACACATTAAGGTTGTTCATCCCTGGAAGTTTAAGCAAAATCTGCCATCCGGTTTAAGAGGAGTTGCATTCACAAAATTTCTACATAGTATATAGTGAAAAAATCAACAAAGGGCCATAATTCTGTAAAATTTGGTCGCAGCGAAAATTCCTTCCTTTACTACCATCTACACCTTAAGGTTGTTCATCCCTGTAAGTTTAAGAAAAATCTGCCATCCGGTTTAAGAGGAGTTGCGTTCACAAAATTTCTACATAGTATATAGTGAAAAAATCAACAAAGGGCCATAATTCTGTTAAATTTGGTCGCAGCAAAATTTCCTTCCTTTACTACCATCTACACATAAAGGTTGTTCATCCCTGGAAGTTTAAGCAAAATCTGCCATCCGGTTTAAGAGGAGTTGCGTTCACAAAATTTCTACATAGTATATAATGAAAAATCAACAAAGGGCCATAATTCTGTTAAATTTGGTTGCAGCAAAAATTCCTTCCTTTACTACCATCTACACATAAAGGTTGTTCATCCCTGGAAGTTTAAGCAAAATCTGCCATCTGGTTTAAGAGGAGTTGCGTTCACAAAATTTCTACATAGTATATAGTGAAAAAATCAACAAAGGGCCATAATTCTGTTAAATTTGGTCGCAGCAAAATTTCCTTCCTTTACTACCATCTACACATAAAGGTTGTTCATCCCTGGAAGTTTAAGCAAAATCTGCCATCCGGTTTAAGAGGAGTTGCGTTCACAAAATTTCTACATAGTATATAGTGAAAAAATCAACAAAGGGCCATAATTCTGTTAAATTTGGTCGCAGCAAAAATTCCTTCCTTTACTACCATCTACACATTAAGGTTGTTCATCCCTGGAAGTTTAAGCAAAATCTGCCATCCGGTTTAAGAGGAGTTGCGTTCACAAAATTTCTACATAGTATATAATGAAAAAATCAACAAAGGGCCATAATTCTGTTAAATTTGGTTGCAGCAAAAATTCCTTCCTTTACTACCATCTACACATTAAGGTTGTTCATCCCTGGAAGTTTAAGCAAAATCTGCCATCCGGTTTAAGAGGAGTTGCGTTCACAAAATTTCTACATAGTATATAATGAAAAAATCAACAAAGGGCCATAATTCTGTTAAATTTGGTTGCAGCAAAAATTCCTTCCTTTACTGCCATCTACACATTAAGGTTGTTCATCCCTGGAAGTTTAAGCAAAATCTGCCATCCGGTTTAAGAGGAGTTGCATTCACAAAATTTCTACATAGTATATAGTGAAAAAATCAACAAAGGGCCATAATTCTGTAAAATTTGGTCGCAGCGAAAATTCCTTCCTTTACTACCATCTACACCTTAAGGTTGTTCATCCCTGTAAGTTTAAGCAAAATCTGCCATCCAGTTTAAGAGGAGTTGCGTTCACAAAATTTCTACATAGTACATAGTGAAAAAATCAAGAAAGGGCCATAATTCTGTTAAATTTGGTCGCAGCAAAAATTCTTTCCTTTACTACCATCTACACATTAAGGTTGTTCATCCCTGTAAGTTTAAGCTAAATCCGTCATCCGGTTTAAGAGGAGTTGCGTTCACAAAATTTCTACATAGTATCTAGTGAAAAAATCAACAAAGGGCCATAATTCTGTTAAATTTGGTCGCAGCGAAAATTCCTTCCTTTACTACCATCTACACATTAAGGTTGTTCATCCCTGTAAGTTTAAGCAAAATCTGCCATCCGGTTTAAGAGGAGTTACGTTCACAAGATTTCGGGACGTACGGACGGACTGACGGACTGACGGACGGACTGACTGACAGACGGACGGACAAGTGCAACGCTATATGCTCCCACATTGTGGGGGCATAAAAATGGTGTAATTTTGAATTAAGAAACATCCGCAGATGTGTTCATACGGCGGTTATCATGGAACCTTCAATGCTACACAGTAGTGTCATTCCATGTAAGGTGGCGTAGTAAATGAAAAGCAGCAACTCTTATTATGTAGCATGTCTAATATTGCAGCTAGTCATTATTGTGCAGCAAGTCTAATACTGCTGAACGTTTAGGTTGAGCAGGTTGTGCGGTAATTACAATAGTACAACACATTTATTAATGCAGCTAGTCTTAAACTTAAGTCAGGTAATTGAAGTCAAATGAACACAGCAAGTCCAAAGAGTTTATTAAGTTCAAATACTGCAGCAAGTCTAAGAGGAACATCAAATCCAGGGGATGCAGCAAGTCTAGGATGATGTTATGTCCAATATTACAGCAAGTAAGGGTTGCGCAGCAAGCCCAATAGTGCATCGAATTAAATACAGCAGCAAGTGAATCACTGCTGCAAGTCCAAGGAGCTCAGCAAGTCCAAGGATTGCAGTCGGTCTAAATAATACTGCAGCAAGTCCAGACGGTGCAGTTAATTCAAAATTGCAATTATCCTTATGCAAAAGTCACATGTACCGCTCGGAATATAAAAAGCAAATCTTAAGTGAACAAGAAACTTTACAATCATTGCTCAATACTGGTTGGTTCCTGGAACGGATTCGAAAGTGTGTCTATAAGCTTCAAGCTTCCTAAACAATCGAACTAAATAAATTCTGTATAAATCAAATCTTAAGTGAATCAAAGCTTGACAACATATCTTTAGTATGTATGTACAACCTAAATTCCTTTGCAGTGTTACCGATAATATTTAAACACATAGACATTTGGTTTAAATACAATGCTATGAGAATTTCATAATCAACAAGGAAGAAACGTAAAAAAGTTAAATTTTTTATAAACTTACGTAATGTTTTCCTTAACACACACATACTGTGGTTTAGTACTGTTCATTCTTCCATCTATTGATATATCTGCAGAGAAAACGGAGGAAATACCCGGTAGATCTGTTGACCTCCTGACAGGGTCCACTGTGATGATATTTGTTAGTTCATCTGTTGTTTCTATACTTATTGCAGGGGATGAACTATTAAATTTGAAACAATAATTTGATAGAAATTAATATTTTTCTGAAACAAAAAGATTGAATGAATTGCTAAGATAGCCATACAATTGGCTATATTTCATATCATCTTATTCAACAGTTTTCTGTTAAGAAGGTTCAATTTGTACATTGAAATTACATCCTGAGAAACTAGTTTTATCAAAACACACAAAGGTAAATCAAGATAATAAATTTCACACTTTAGATATTTCATTTTGAAACAAAGAACATTTGTTTGTAATTGTATAATTAGTCTTACCCCGATATTGCTGCGAGATAAACACGCAATTTGCACGATAATCGTTTGCCTTGGTGTTCATAACATGTCAAGGTGCTTCCGTCTTTTGGAGATGGAGATATAATTCCATTCTGTAAAATAAAGAAAGTAAGAACCCAACACGGCACAATTGAAAATAGTTGCAGGCTCGGTTTGATTGAGCCTGTTTATGAACGGTACTGTCAAGTGCAAACTGCTGTCCACGCCCCCCTAGCACCGGCGTAAGCAGAATTCAACATTTAACATGAACTGGTACAATTTGGAATTTTTAAAACATCCGCAGATGTGTTCATATGGCGCTTATCATGGAATTTTCAATGTGACACGTAAGTGCAATTCCATGAAAAGCGACATATGGTCCCCAAGTAAAAAAATGCGTGCGCCCTAAACGAAACAAAAACAATGGGCGGAACTAAATAAAATGGAATTTTGAAAGGGGATCAGGGGTTATGAAGCCTGCATATCACAGATAAGACGTCAAAAGACAAATTTAAAAGCAGGCCACATATTCTAAGGGCGATTTAACAGTATTCAAGTGAGGAATACTAGAATCACCCAATAAGAAAATAGCCGAATAGAAAGAACTAAATTACCACAAGCACAACAAAAGTGTCTTGTTGAACGATCTTTAAGGATCGGATATAAAACATCTTTGATTGAATGTACGGGGCGACTTTTTACAGCCTCCATACGGCACAAACAACACTGATGTGGCGATAAAATAGAGAAAGTCAGAATCTCCAAAGAAAGTCCAACTGTAAGCCAAAGATATGTGCAAATAGTCATGATCATTGTTCTAAAATCTTTTTACATTATGAAAAGTTCTTAGACACTGATGTAGCATGTCATGCACGCGCATTGTGCCTTCAGCATAATCAACAATTTTCCTTTTTGGGTGTCTTTATGTTTTTACTTTAAGCATTTACTTCTGTTTCATTCTCTTTGATCGAGAAAAGTTAAATACAACTTTACACTATCAACTCCAGTAGCAATAACATCATAGCTTCAACATATTGTGCCATTACATCACCAAGTCGTTTATTCCTGTCTGATATGATATATGCAGAATATATAATTATATCAAGATATGCACACATATGTATTAATATGTAATATGATCATGATCATTTTGGTTCTTGTATTTTGAAAATTTTATGCATTACACAGCTCAATTAAATGTACTACAGGAGAATAAAGTGCAAAACTTTGACTTATGTGGCGGGAAACAGTGCATATGTTGATAAAAATGTTTCTATCATATATAGAAGCCATTTGCCTATTGAATTTAAGATTAGATTTTTGAAATAAACAACAACTGCTTTGGGCTTAGTATTAGTGTCAAAAATAAAAAAACAGCGACATCCATTCTATGTGTCTGGTGCTGCAGATTTGAGCATGGTGCATCATGTGGGCACTTTTTCTTTTTGAAGTAAGTAAGTGGTTGCATGTGTTAATTTTAGAAAAATAATTCTGAATTATAGTTATAATTTAGAGGTTAATACTTGGTTGCTGCTCATCATTATGCGATCTTGAGACATCTCCGCTTATCTTGGTTTTCACCCTTTCTAAGAAACGGACAGTTGTCAATGTAAACAAATATCTATCAAACAGTTCAACCCTATGATTTACTTAGAAAACACAAAATAAATTTAGAAAATGCTGTTTAATTGTATTTTATATTGATAAATACCATTTGTGCCAGTTTTTTATGATATTGTGTACTGTCAAATCAAGTAATAAATCTATTCTAAAGCCCCCGATCTTTTTTCTACCGTCAATCTGAAATCATTTTCGCAATTTCTCAGGGTCATATTTTGTCTTGGGTAGAGTTACTGAATTTCTTTTCTTGAGTTTATAAATCTTCAATGTTAAATTGATTGCGGTTGATTATGCCACAGTTAATTCAACGACAGAAGACATCTTAAAAGTCACGGAGAGTTGATTACGTCATTGTTTGTTCATTTACTTGCCCATTATGTATAATTTTCGAGCGAACGAAGTGAAACGAGAAAATTAGTTTCTTAAAACTCTGTATATAACCTATAACCGACTTGATGTGGTTGAATATATCTTAGCGAAATAAAGTAGGACAATACAACACATTAGCAGGGATTCGTGGATTTATGTATTATCAACACTTCATACCTATGTTACTATATATAGTAACAAAATCTAGGTTATTTCAAGGACATTTTGGCAAGATAAAGATCATTATAGCTGTTCATAGCTGTTCCTCATATAAAATTTTACAGCTGTAGGTTGACAAATACAAAGTAACTGAGCGGAAACTGTTTTCAGTTTTAAGGTAATAGTGACCTTGATCTTTGACCTTGTGACCCAACAGTCAATAGGGGTCTTCTACCCAATATAGACAATTATCCTTTGAAGTTTAACTATTATGGGCCAAATTGAACTTAGGTTATGCCCCGGAAACCAAATTGCTAAAAGACGGACGGACGGACGGACAGACAGACAGACAGACATACTGAAGGGGGTATAATATAATATGCCCAAAATTCTTTCGGGCATATAATAAAATGTCATATCTTTTCAAACTTTAAATTCTAACACTCCTCGTGATTTAGTCACTATAGAAAAAGAAGAAAAAAACCGGTGTTAAACTGCCAATAAACACTGGTTAGTGACTATTATTATTATTATTATATACCAAACTTCTTAAGCACTTTTTTCATGCACATTGACACGTTCAAAAGAACTGTACAGTGTTACCAAATAAATGATACAATATTTAAAAGAAAAAAACTAAAACATCTAAAAACTCAAGTCACAAATTCAAATCAAATGTAGTTTTGAAAAATTTAAAAAGACCCACATAAATTATAATCAGTCGAAATAAAATCTCTTAAATAAGTGAGTTTTAATTGCTCTCTTAAACACTGTTAGAGTTTCACAGCTTTTAAGTGTTCTAGGTAGGGCATTCCAGAGTTTAGGGACCTAAGTTGTCTGGATGGGGTATAAATGTCTATCATATTTCGTATGTACGTAGGTGCCTGTCAATGAAACGCCTTAAACTAATATATAAGGAGTTTGTACTCGACTCTGATGTGCACAGGAAGCCAATGTAGTTCCTTTAAAACTGGGGTTATGTGGCAGTTTCGCCGTGTCATGGTAACAACACGAGCAGCCGTATTTTGAACATTTTTGGAGCTTGTTGAGAACGTACTTTAAAGATCCATAAAGCAACGAATTACAGTTGTCACTATCAACAGTCAAGTATTTCCGAATTTGACCTATTTGTCGTATTTTCATGAAGCATGAACGAGAAACTGAGTTCACATGTTGTTCCATGTCTAAATGAGAGTCCAATAAAGCGCCAAGGTTTCTAACTGTTGTTTATGGTTTTATTACAGAATCACTGACTATTTGTATATGCGGCTGTTATGTTTTCTCCCTCGATTATATAGCCTACATAACTTATATAGCCTTTTAAAGCGTCAATTTTTATTTATAGTTTCAGTTCTTATGTTTTCTTTTCACACAATAGCGAAAGAATACCTTACATACACTAACGCCACAAATTTGATCCATATCAGTTAATAAATATTTTGATGAAACGGCGCCGATATTATTTCTTAAATGTAACCCTGTATCATCAGTCATCATTGTTTATTACACTACAAATATCAAAACTGTTGTTTAAGATTATTTTTGAAAAATATTGAATATTGTAAACTTCTTCTAGACACTTTCAAAATCTTCTAAACAATGGTTTATTGCTGACAAATTTATAAAAAAAAATAATCAAAATTTAAATTTTCATTTATATCACAATATATCAGGTACAACAGGTCTAATTCAAAGATTTGTACTACTTTTACCAAAACTCAAATTGGAACTCAAAAAGTTTTTTAATATAAGTATTTAAAATGAAATAGAATTAAATAAGTTTTTGTCACTCCTGAACATTTTCAAAAATAGCAGTTAGACCAGTATTGCGCTCAGCCATCCAGATAAAGGCTCGTGTCGTCTGTAAAAAGTTGTATGTTCGAATTTACATCGTTAACAATATTGTTTAAATATATATCAAGAGAAACAGAGGTCCGAGGATCGAGTCTAGGGTACGCCGGCATTATTTAATGACCAGTTTGAAGAACAATTAGCGTATGCTAAAATGTCCTTATAAAATTTCTCACCTCGACTTAAAAGTACATTTCTTCATTCTTCTTTATTCAAGCGATTATATGGTTTATAATAAAAATATCAAAGCTCCGTCTTTTTGCGGCTCATAAATACCCATGCTTATTTAACACGATAAATGCATGATAAAACAAAACAAGATTGCATTTGAGAAAAATGCTATGCCACCGCATAAATACAACACTAAATAGTAGTGTAGGAACAGATTTTTTTTGTTTCTATACAATTTTGAAGATTGTCATAATGCATAGATCCCTGAGCAATCTTATTCTTATTATCAGATTAGTGGTAAAATCTGTTGTTAACTCAATAAAAGATCAGAGTAGGAATATATCAATGCACTTGAGTCTAGTGAATTTGGTGGTGAAGGTCATATTTCACACAGCCTAAATTTCATGACTACATCAAAGGACAACGCAGTAAGACACTTTGTCAAAATCTAGGTCTGCTGAAATCAAGTTCACTTTACATCTTAATGATTTAATCTGTGCACATGGTTCAAATTTCATAGCTGTACATCAAACGACAAGAAAGTAGGTCACATCATCAAAATCTAGGTCACCTGATATCAAAGTTCAATTTTACAACTAAAACTGTGCACATGGTCAAAATTTCATTGCTGTACATCAAAGGACAGGAAAGTAGGTCACTGTCCCATTGGGCAAGGCAAAATTTTGGACCCAAGGGTTTAATTCAAAACAATCTTGATACAGTCCACCAAACAACATTTCAAGTCAAATATCTAAGCTGTAGCTGATGTACATAATGGAAATCAATGACACCCGGGGCAAAACCAATTATGACCCCAGGGCTATATTTGAACAATCTGGGTAAAGGTTCACTTTGGAAAGTCTCATGCCATATATTTAACCTCTAGCCTTTGTCAATTCGGAGAAGAAGATTTTTCAATTCAGAGAAGAAGATTTTTCAAGTTTTTACTTTATACATATAAGGAAAACTATCGCCTCTGGGGCAGGGCAATCTTAACACTAGGGGCATAATTAAAACAACTTTAGTACAGGACCCATAGATGATATTATATACCAACTATCAAAGCTCTAAGCCTTGTTCCTTCAGACAAGAAGATTTTTGTAATATATGTACATAGTGAAAATCAATGACCCCTGGGGGGTGGGGCCAATTTTGACCCCAGGGCTATAATTTGTACAATCTTGCTAGAGGTTCACTACATAATGTTTCATGCAAAATATCTTAACCCTAAGTCTTTGTAAATTTAGAGAAGATGATTTTTTAAGTTTTTACTATATACATATAAGGAAAACCTATGGCCCCTTGGGCGGGGCTAAATCAATGACCCCCGGGGTGGGGCAATTTTGACCCCAGGGCTCTAATTTGAACAATCTTGCTAGAAGTTCACTTCACAATGTTTCATGCAAAATATCTAACCTCTAGCATTTGTCAATTGCTAGAAGAAATTTTTTTAAAGTTTTTACTATAAGTTTTTACTATATACATATAAGGAAAACCAATGACCCCCGGGGCGGGCCGATTTTGACCCCAGGGCTATATTTGAACAATCTGGGTAGAGGTCTACCAGACAATGCCTTATGCAAAATATCTAAGCTCTAGGCCTTTTGGGTCTTTACAAGAAGGTATTTTAAGTTTTTACTATATGTACATAAAGTGAAAATCAATGACCCCCGCCCGGGACGGGCCAATTTTGACCCCAGGGCTATAATTTGAACAATCTTGGTAAGGGTCTAGATAGCCTTTTGGGTCTTTACAAGAAGGTATTTTAAGTTTTTACTATATCTACATATAGTGAAAATTAATGACCCCCGGGGCGGCGCCGATTTTGACCCCAGGGCTATAATTTGAACAATCTTGGTAGAGGTCTACCAGACAATGCCTTATGCAAAATATCTAAGCTCTAGGCCTTTTGGGTATTTCCAAGAAGATTTTTTAAATTTAGTCTTATAATTCCTTTTGGTTGCCATGGCAACCAGATTTCTGCATGGAATGAAATTCTTTGAACAACTTTGGAAGCCCTTCACCCAAGGATCAATCCTGCCAAGTTTGTTTGAAATTGGACTAGTGGTTTTTCACAAGAAGATTTTTTAAGTTCACTATATAATCTATATAACACACACACACACACACACACACACACACACACACACACACACACACACACACACACACACACACACACACACACACACACACACACAGGTGAATCGCTATATGCCACCGCATCGCAGATGCTGCGGTGGCATAAAAATCATTATCCCGTTTAATACATTCAGCCTAATATTTACAATGACATTTGATTGATATAATGTTCACAATATATCAAATAGTAAATACTTACAACATTTCCAGATATATCACAAATTGCTGAAAATCAGATAATGAAAATATTTTTAATCTGAATGAACAAACAATATCCCGCTACTAGCTTTTGAAGACTTTAATGAGGTTTGCAATGTGCACGATAGTTTACTTCTCCTACGAAATTAAAAATACACGGTTGTGCTATACCTTAAAAATAATGTGTTCGTCCTCAGAAATGCCTAGAAAATGTCACCTTTTAATTAAAGGTCTAAAGAAAATATTTAGTTAAATCACTTACACATTTCTTGAAAAAGATTGCAACTGTTTCAGAACTAATAAAAGAAAGAAAATCTACGAAAAATTTCAAAGATTTCATAGATAGTATATCTATATTATTAAAAATTCAGAACTTTTATGATAAGTATGCTTACATTTGATTGTTGTTTTTTTTGTCCTTTAACATTGATCGTAAAATATCATTAAAGCAGAGGTAAAAATCTTACGTGTCTCGCAATTTTGACCAGAGTAACCGTAGGGACAAGAACATTTTCCTCCATCATAGCATACACCTCGTCCATTACAAGAATTGTTGGAACAACCACCTGAAATTTTATCGCAGATAAAATAACTTCTTACACATTTGATAGTAACTTAATTATAAATCATAAGACAGATTAGAGACAACATAAATGACATACTTGCTGGACAATTCATTATTCCATCTCTCTGTTCCGGGCATTCATCTGAAAGAAAAAACAGAAATATACTGACAAGAGAAATTACAACAATTGTAAGAAACATTATTATTAGAGACTCAGTATAATAATAGTCCTATATATCAAAATGTATGACTGTATAAAAAGATAAACAAACTGTACTGTTAAAAGGTTCTAATTACTAATTTAATGCTAAAACTTTTAAGCACTTTAATCATTTCTTACCAACAGTACAATTGATTCCGCTAAAACGATCAAAACATTCACATGTATAAGTTCCGACACCATCAATACATCTTCCATGTCTATCACAGGCATCAACCGGGCAATCGTTTATATCTGACAAAAAAATGAACGATGTCAATAATATTTTTTAGCAGTAACTGTTCTTTAATTTAAATCTCTCCGAAGTCTGGTTCCTACACAATGCCAAATATGAATAAAGCATCCCTATGAAGAAATATAATTCAATAAGTGTTGTACATTATTTTTCGACACTATAGGGAAATCTTGATTTTTGATATACTTTTGTGGGTATTTTTTTCCTTTCTGACTGAAGAATTACCTTTTTTTGGTAATTTAAAAATATAAATTTAAAAAGGGATAGAAAAAAGAAAAAATACACCATCGTATGTACATTTCAAGCTTACAAAATATTAGTACTATTTGCTTTTATCCCTGGAATCCCAAATTGAAATGCCTGCCCGAAATAACATATTGAGTATGTTGTTACCCCGAAACGGGATCTACTGTGCATGGATCTTCTCCTGAAACGATATATTTTATTACTGTTTTACTTTTTGTCGTACAATAAAGAATATTAGTTAGCTTATTTAATAATTTAAAAATAGAGAAGTCATAGTTTAGTTTTAATATTGATTGAATATTAAATGTTCGTTTATTAAATGTTATTTATTACTTCAAAATAAATAAAATCACTTTGTAAGTACATTGATCATAAGATGAACAGAAACAAAGCAGTTTTTTCAGTATTTCAAAAATACATTTACTTGAAAGTGTCATTTTCAAATCAACCTTATTTGTTGCAAATTTTGATAACCACTGCTTATTTGATTATTTCAAATGTGTAATACGGTTTTTATCAGCTAGATACAACTATAATCGATCACTGTTTTAACTGCAATATATTGCTTTTCAGTACTGTTGTTCCAATATGCATATATCTTTCATGGTATTTTTAAAATAATTTAAACAACATGAACTTTATTTTGTACTTACTAACACTGCATGTTTTCCCTATTGTTCGAGGTAAACAAAGACATTTAAATCCACCACTTTCTTTATCTCTTTCACAGGAAGCTGAATTTTTACATGGTGCTGATATGCATGGATCTATGAATAAATAAATAAATAAATAAAAATAAATAAATAAATAAATGAATAAATAAATTAATAAATAAATAAATGTAATTAAATAGTTAATGTTTTAAGCAGAAATATGAAAAGAAGAATGAATGTAGCAGGAGTCAAAATACCGGCTTGCACAAATATGTAATGTTACCATGTTTTCAAACCGACGAGAACGGCTTTGTCAATGAAAGAAATAGAAAATCACCTTTCTTTCAAAAACGTTGAAGATGTATAAATGCTATACATGCACAGAGCTGGTTCTTAAAAACGGTTATTAACAGTCATTATACATTTGAATGAATATGAGAAAATATCAAAAAAATCTTTCTAACATGTCATTAATATTCCGTCTATAACAAATAGTTGTAAATAAGCCTCACAACATTCCATTCCAGAATTATCAATGAAATGGCGTCAATATCATACATCTAGTAATCTCAATGCTATTTTGATCCACTGTAAAGTTATTTAGAGTACATTACCGTTGTATCAGAATTACACACCTGGAGGTTCTATATGACTTGTGATACAAGCTTTCTCGCTCTCAACACTGCAAAAAAATATGTGTTCATATTCAATGCTCAAATATATTATCAAGAAATAGAGAGGTAATAAGTAAAAAATAAAGAGGAAACTAGGGAACGCAATGAGATATAACCGAAACTGGGATTTGGTTGACGTATGTAAATGTACAAATCAACATTTTGGCAGCTATTTCCAATAATGCCGCGTGCTCTTAATAGTTTAACATTCATTCTAATTAAATGAGTCATAGTTTCATCATAACTTAAACCAAGTACATGTCCTTTCTTTCTTTATTTAACACAATTGAAATTTTTCTATATAAGGATTTAAAAATACTATTAGTTTACTGGAAAAATCATACATGCAATTAGCTTATACTAGCTTATCATTAGTTTTACATTTGAAGTCATACGATATCTATGCACAATTAGGCATAATCAATAAAACATTTAAATGCAAAAAAGAAAATATCCACACATGACATATTTTATGGTATACAAGTTAACTTTTGTCGTGTAAACTTGAATTATATTATTTTGTTATTCTCGAACTTAAAGCCTCCACTTACCCATTTACATCCTTTGCTTTGAAGCAGATATTTTTCTTTCCATGCATTGAATGTTCAAAGGACAGGTCAGCTTTATACACCTGCTCACCTTTGTGTGTGATGTATTGTACTAAACTGACATCAAACTTGTCAATGAAACTGTCAGTGACAAAGATCTCGGATAGATTTCTGTAAAATATAGATTTATCTGTGACAGACTGTCAAAGTCCCACGCCAAACAGAATAAAGTTTAAAAATTAGCCCAATGTACGCACTAACATTTAGATGGCAACCACGCAAAAAGTGCAAAAAATGAGAGAGAAACGAAAAGTTTTTCCGTTGGTATAAAGTTCATTGTTGATATGTAAGAGCATTCTCCAATATTATAAAAAGCTATATTATAGCATGGACATCAATTCTTTTTATTTTGACTAGACAAAATAAATAAATAAATATACTACCAAATTTGCAAATTCAAAGAAGGCAAAATAACAATGAGCATTAACTCCAAATTATGATGTGAAGATATGTCATTCTTGCAACTTCATTCCCCCTGTTAGTGATCTATCCTCTTATGAAGTTTAACACCTCAAAAGCGTTATTAGTTATACTCTGGACTAACTTTAAAGAATGCAGTGAAGAATTATAATACTTGTGCACTGCACGCCTCCTAACGAGATATATCTGCCTATTAGATATGAAGTTTAAATGTTAAACTCTTTTTGGAATATTTTTGTCATAAATATTAAACAATAAAATTAACAAAGGACAATAACTCAAAATGAGTGTTATAGTCATGCACTGAACTCTTCCATAATTAGATCTTTCTGCTTATGAAACTTCTTATTGCTTTATCAAATACTGATTGAGTTATGCTTATGAAAAAAATTAGCATGAACAATTTAAAAAAAAGAAAATTACTTAAGAAGTTTAAATTTGACATCCCAAACCTTTATAAGACAGAAATAAAGCATGAAAAACCATAAAAATAAAATTGAGAGAAATAAAGAATCCTTAAAGAACGCGCAAAACGACAAAATTGAATTTTTTTTTCGGTTTATTGAGCCTGTTTAATGAAATTTATTCACTCAAAAATTATGATGAGTAGACGTATTATTCCTGGGCATTGCCTTTTTCCTTTATGACAGCTATTTATGTATGAAGTTTTAAGTTTATACATATCTCAAACACTTTTTGAGCTTTACTTTGTGGAAGGCATAATTAACATTCTTGCTCTCTGCAATCATGCAGAATAAGACCTTTATTATTTTATGCAATTTGATAGATTACTGAAGTATTATCAAAGGTTTGCTTTGGAAAAAGGTTTGCCTTTACCAAAATCAATAGCTCAAAATATTAAAGTTTTGTGTTATCGTTTTGAGCAACGCACTCTTTCTCGATTTGCCTTGGAAGTTTCAAGTAGATATCTCACATCACTTTTCATGTTTTGAGGAGAAATCACAACCATACGACAAATTTAGCGTGCCAATACGAAGATGTTTACCCGCTGACACGATAAAGGTGAAGATCTCGAGGATTTGCCTATTAAATTTCGTTATTTAACTATAAATATACTGTTTCAGCGCCTTCAAAAGTAAGCATATTATTGTGTCTTTGCCTAAGACTTTTGAAGAGCGAAGACGCGAATGGCTGAAATCAGCAAACATAGGCGGTTTAGAAATTAAGCTTACTACACATTACACGCGTCAGTTCGGATTCTGTTATCGACGCATTTCAACAGTATTCTATAGTTTCACATATATAAACATTTCAACATGTTTAGCATTATAAATAACTAGAACTTTAAAAATGACCATCGTAATTGATCTTGTAAGAATGTAATAACTAAAATCCGTTGGAAAAAAAATGACAAAATTTGAAAATACATACGTTCCAGATTTTACATATAAAGCCACAACACAAGTTGCGTGGATTTTGCAGTCCACAAACTGAATAGGCGAAGGAATGTCGATAAAATAAGGTTTATCCTGGAAAGAAAAACAGAGATATTCTGTCAAAAGCAGCATATCATTTGCAAACTATACTACTTACTATAAAAATTTATTTCATAGAAGGATTAATGCTTCATTTAATTACCATTAAATTTATTTTTTGTACTACACAATTCAATGTTCAAACTATATTAAATCGCAATATTCACACTTTTGCATTTCAAACATGTATGGAGACTACGTAAAAGATTAATACACAACTCCCTGATCAATAATTTTGATAAAAGGTCAGTTACCTAATATCATATATAATCTCCGCTCATTTCAACGAACTTTGAATTTAATAGCTGATATTCTTATTTATACCTATCTTTAATCTCATTGAATGAAGATGGAATCTTTCTTATTTTTTGGTTCGTTTTCAAGCCTCGCACTTTCCATCAGATATTAGCCCCGCCTTATAAAACTGACATCAAAAGACAGTAGTATGCTATTTTGTATACAAGTATATTGATTAATTTCTATCAAACGTCAATGTCATTTGTTATTGTTATATCATACAAATAGTGTTTTATGATAAGGTGAAGATTCAAATCTATTGACCTGGGTTATGTGATATTCATCCTCGGCCTTCGCCCTCAGTGAATATAACAACAGTCAGACCCAAATACGTTATTCAACCAAATTTTCTTACAATACTACTAACTCTTTTAAAACGACTTAAATAAAATATTCCACAAAGCAAATTGTTTAAGTTGACTGAATTCCCATTTTACACATAAAAGGCCTATGAAAGCGGACAAAAATAGCAAAACAAGGCTTTACGTTTTCGGCATGTAATGAAAAGAAAAGTATGTGTAAGGCCATGTTTTAAAATGTAAAAACACGATTTTGGGTAATTTAAATATTTTGCAACATTTACTAAACACTTAATTTCGTTTGAAAAACGTGTTAAAAAGTTATCACTCTTTCGGCGCCATCCCCTATCAAATAGATACATCAAGGAGGTGCAAGAGGGGGATGTGCCCCCTTCTGTTTAGGGGTTTGAAGGAGGTCGGCAGACCCTTTCATCTCCAAGAAAATTTTGGATTCGTGAAAGGATAAAAATGGCCCCAAGTCGACGATAAGGTAACGTGTAAGCAACGCTGAAAAGCTTTTGACTCTATCTCAATCAATTGAGAGGTTGAAGCACTAACGCAAAATAGTGATCTTTGGCAATTTTGTGATTTCCCCTCGTTGCCATGGTAACAGGAAATTTAAGATTGAGTATGCGGTTACAAAGGCTATGGTCCAGTTAACATTTGTGCCAAGTTTGAACAGTATTTGAACAGTATTGAACACTTTTTTAAAAGTTTCAAAGTCGTTTGTAACAGCAGGCTTTTCAATGAAAAGAGCCATTTTTCACAAAATGCTCATGGAGAAATAAGTTAAATCCACTATAAAGCGAGTAAATATGATAAAAAACGACAAGCAATTGGCATGTTTATTTCATATTTGTATTTTGGCAGACAGATTTCTTTCTGAATCTGTAACTTACTTATGTTTTACGTAACGCGGTTTTATGATTAATTGGCTAGTAACCTATATCACGTCAACATCACGTAAACGATTTGGTACTCCTAATCAATCACGTTTTATGGCGTAGTGTGTTTAATTGAATATCAACTAAAGTAGAGGTCAAAATCACTTGCTATTGACTGTCGATGGAACGTAGGGAATCGTTTGCCATATTCTTCTTATAATCTTAAAATACTAACACCCCATATTTCACATGATACTTTGCAAAAAATACATTTCATTTGCCAATAAATGTATATCTTATTTACATTTAAACGACCCATTGACCTTGATACCAGTGACATTAAACTTTAAATTGAAAAGCTACCAAAGGTATCCACATACCAAATATGAAATTAATATTCGGGTTATAGGCAGTACGAGCAAACTATAAGAAATATATCACTGGTGACATTGGCCTCTTGCGACACCTATCTCTTTCCAAAGTTATAGGTCCGTTCTATATATTTTCATACCAAATTTGAAAAGTACCTATTTATATAATAATTGTTGCGTTAGCATAAATGGAAAAAATATTTTTCAATCACTGGTGACATGAGTCACCAGTGATACCAGACTCCACTCCAAATAAGTATGTGCATACCAAGAGAAAAGAGACATCATTCATATAAATAAAAATGGAGAAATGAAAAAAAAAACTATATATAGCACTAACGACCTCGAACAATGCCCTAACTACTTTAACTTACTTTAGGTATTGTGGAGGAGTTGCTTGCTGTGCATCATTCAAATCTTTGTCAATTTTTTTTTCTTAATAACGTATGAGTATTATGCAAGTGTAATAATGTTACATGATACGCTTAGTCGTAAGTGATAGTATATTTAATATAAAATAGATAAATACAGAATCCCTAAAGAAAGCCCAACACGACAAAATTGAAAACGTTGCAGGCTCTGTTTGATTACTACAAGATACGATAAGTATATTAAAAGATCAGACGTACAAATGAATAAAGTGTTTTATTTCTACGGATATATTTATCTTTTTCAGTCAGATATTATGCAATAAATTTATATAACATATTAAAACATTCCGAACCGTTACTGTGTTGCATCCCCCCGTCTCAAGGGGAAAAATTGCGTACAAACAACACTATCCCATTTAAGCACAAAATGATAGGAAAAGCCTTTTATGCACGTCAAACGTACATGAAAAGGAATTTTTGTTTTACGGTCAAGAGTACTATGCGACTTATTAACAAACAGTAAGTTGGCTGTAAACAATCTCGTTGATAGAAACAGGTCGTTAAAAGTATCTATTTATATAATAATTCTTGCGAAATTTTAACACCATCTTCGTACGTATTTTTCAGATTGTCACACATTTTCCAGGAGCTCGTAGATAATTTTCTTACTTGTGACTAATTCGTATTTGTTAAAAATATGCTTCAAGAAGGTCATGTTAAAAATTGCATTCTTGTGTAGAAACAAATTGGTACTTGATAAAATATTTATAATAATGAACTTGAGTATATCACGAAATGCTTTATTACTTATAAAAATAACGTGTTTGAAAGCAAAAATCAAGCTCAAGTGGTAACAGTATGCATTTTTGCCATTAAATTTCATAAATCTACAATATGTTGTGTCGATAAGAAGCCGTTATGAAAAAAAATAGGGGTTCGTATTTCATCAGATTTTATTAAAAAATAAACTTATTTCAAAGCAGACATATTGAAAAAAATCTAAAGTGATTCCTCATAAGTCATTTTTTCATTTATGCTTGTTAAAACTTTAATAATACTATCTTTTATTTTTTGAAAACGAGAAATCTATATTTTAAATGTTGATCTCTTTACATACCACCGCAACAGTTGATGAATGATTGAATGCATCAGCTATAATGTAGAAGGATAGTAATATTATTTTAAAATAGTCTTGAAATCTGAAGAATTTCATCCAACGAGATTTTAAAAAAATCCTTTATTTATAAAGAACTTGAATTTTCTATTTATCATACATTTTTTTTCTCTTTTCTAACCTTACGATTAGAAAGATTCCAATTTTTTTTTTGTATTGGTTGCATTTTTTAAAAGTACGTAGTTCGTTAGGATAACAGTGAAAATACGAAAAATGTATTCATTTTAGTGGATTCCTTTTTTCAAAGTGAAAATACGGATAATGAAAATACGCATTTTAATTCATGAATATATCTAAATATTTCATATATACGTATGTAATGAAATAAATCATTACTGAAGGAAATAACGCAAAAAATGTTACCGGATTAGCAAAATCGGAAATACAGTTACTTCTCGTTTCTTCTTCTAGTAAACGTATATCTCAGATAAAGAGACAATTATCTTAAAAAAACAAAAATGTTTTACTTACGCTGAACATCTAAAACAAAGCATCTTTGTTCAGAATCAACGCTGAAAATAGATTGCTTATACTCAAAATCGATCGATAATTATGAAATCAATGTTTTATTGAAGAATATATTTGTGCTTTATATTCTATACGGTATATGCTTATTATTGCTTATACTTCGCCCGTGTACCATTTAAAACAATATCGATGATGCAGAAATATTTCGTCTTTCACTATAGGATGTAGAAAATATTTGTTTTTGTTTTTATGTATGATGAAATTCTATTTCATCCAGTGAGCTTTAAAAACAGTATTATTACGAGTAGCAAAGTGACAACAATGGTTTTGATAAAATGAAAAAAAGTTCAACAAGGCAATGCGACGCTAACACAACGTAGTCCCGTCATAACACAACCACTAGATGAAATAAAATTTACATCACACTCACACAAAACAAAAAATATTTTTTCATTGTATGCTTAAATACAAGTTTAAAGATACACTATACTATATTTTTGAAAATTTTAATAATTGCTACACAGTCTCTTTATATGTATAAATAAACATGTTTCGACTTTATTTAAAGTAAAAATGTTATGTTTTGAATTCTACACACTATAGGTGGTCACAATATGAATATTTAGTGTCATTAAAAAAACTGGCAGTTTTTATCAGAAAATACCAACTTTATTTGACCTGTAATAGGGAATGCAGCTTCCAATATATAGTTTATTTATTATTTTATTCAAATTGAACATATTCAGTAAGAATTTCATGGATTTCAATATATTTCTAAGATAAAAATATTTTACCCAAAGATGAGCATAGTATATCTTTAAATAATATTTCTTCAATATCTACCTGAACATTAAAATCTTTTTCCCCACTGGTAGCCTCTTTTTCAGAGGAAGATAAAATTAGCAGACTGTTCCAACTTTGACCAAACATTAAAGAGCCTATGCTTGATGATCGGTAAATTAAACGGATAGAAGTAAATGTTAATGTATTTGATTACGTTTGTTATTTTAGATATTAATCAATATCACATTTGTTTTGCCCTAAATCGGCCTAATGATGTCCGAATTGAAAGGGTAAAAAGGTGAGGTACAACATACGTAACATTTTTCAAAAGGAGTCTCTTCAATAATCAAAAATAAATGTCACGGATAAATAAGTAGTCAATTAAAAAAATGTAGAATAAAATTTTGTATCTCTTACTCAGTATTATCTATAGCACTAACGCATGCTATATGTCTTCCGATATCATCTGCGGATGGTTTCCATGACATTGTTGAAAACTTTACTTGCAGTCGCTTTAAATCATCTTGTGCTTTTGATGTAGTGAAGTTTTCTCCCTGGATTCCAAAAGCTATAAAATCTGCTATAGTGCTGGAGGAAAAAACATTACTTTTAGCCCCATATCATATAAATTTAAATGATTAAAATAGAGAAAGTAAGAATCCCCAAAGAAAGCCCAACACGGCAAAATTGAAAATGTGGCAGGCTCGGTTTGATTGAGCCTGTTCATGGACGGTACTATCAAGTGTAAACTACCGTCTACGCCCCATAGCATCGGCTTAAGCAGAATTCAACATTTAACATGAACTGGTACAATTTTGAATTTTGAAACATCCGCAGATGTGTTCATATGGCGGTTATTATGGAATTTTCAATGTGACAAGTAAGTGCCATTCCATGGAAAGCGGCATATGGTCCGCAAGTAAAAACATTTTGTCCTATTACTCGAGACGTTTTCTTACGAACCTAAATGCCGAAACATGACATAGTCATTATTTATTATTAAAAGAAACTAATTCATTATCGGGCAAACAGAAATGTATTAATTTCACGTTTGTTTTTTTAAAAACTAATTATTTCTATATGAAATTTATAATGATTTTTCTAAAATCGGTAGATAAATATCTCTAAGGTATTGAAAAGCTACATGCCAGTGTATAAACGAACGGATTTTGCTCTACAGCTGTTCAAGTTTAATAAGTGGAACCATGACCTTTGTCTTATATGAAAAGCATGGTTACTATAAAAGAGTGTAACAAGAATACAAAAATATTACGAATACATTTTCTTATTCTGAGTGAGCCAAGTTATTTAAAAAAAGGAAGAAGAAAAAAAACGAAAACAGTAATGAATCAACGACAATGATATGACATACGACATACAATAGTAACCTTTACTTTAAAAATAAAGACCTGATCCTATGCGCGACGCATCCCCACATTTATGCCAATTAATTTTGAAATCCGTCCTAAATGCAAATCATATTTAGAAAAAAATTGCAATACACCGTAAATGTTATAATGTTATGTTTCCCAAGTATGTGAATTACCTTTTAAACAATAACCGTCTTAATTACAGATAAAAATCTATTCTTATGGTGGCAAACTATTACACATTTAGCTGCAAAACAGGAAAACGCACACCACAAACTTAAACTTTCTCAGAGCATATTTTATAAATAAAATTCATTTTATATTTAAAAATGATTTGTAATATGTGTATGTGTGTCTGCGTACGTGCGCGCGCGTGTGTGTGTTTGCGCGTTATGTTCGAGTGCACTCTTTGTGACCATGTTTGTATTACTTGTACAGTGAGTTGTACTATAGATACATTTTATGCTTTGTATATGTAACTATTAAAAAGGTCTCATAAACTCTGAACCCTTTGAAAATTCAATTGTTTCTCGTTTATGGCATACACATAATTGACTTTGGGATTTTGCGCCGTAGGGATCAGCGGTTCTGTACGTCATGGAAAGTCTATCGCTTATACGGTGATAATCCAGTCAGCCCATTTAAGTGACTTTAGCATCTTGGTAACACAGGATATGCGTCAAAAGTAAGATTTGGTCCTATTTACAGTTAGCTATTGTGATCACAATTCGTCCGTCCGTAAACTTTTACTTTTAACGGCCTCTCCCCATAAACCACTAGGCCAATGTCATTCCAGGAATGATCCTATGGTGGTCACCTTTACAAGATGTTGAGAGAATTTAATTCCCTGCAGAATTCTGGTTGCCATGGCAACCGAAAGAAAAAACTAAAAAGACGTCTTTTAAAACCTTAAAGAGCTAGAGCTTAGATATTTGACATGAAACATCTTCTAGTGATTATCTACCAAGTTTGTTTTAATAAATGCCCTGGGTCAAAATTGTCCACCCCGGGTGTCATTGATTTTCCTGATATGTATAAAGTTAAAGCTATAAGAAATATTCTTTTTGAAAATCCAAATAGCTAGAGGTTATATATTTAACATAAAACATCTTCAACGTTTGTGCAAATAAAAGCCCTGTGGTCATTTTTTCCTTTAGCAAAGCAACAAGTAATGTTTTCACACAAAAATGAACTTTGTGATATCAGTTTCAGATTTAAATTGTTTATTTGCTTTTGTTTATATCACCTTTTCCTTGTCATGGAGAGTTCTGTTATAGGTGAGCGATTTCAGGGTCACAATAGTCCCTCTTGTTTTGATTGGACACATTTTACCTGATCAACTCGAGTTTGACTATGATGGACCAGGTACAGGTTCTAGTTGTGGTCAATCAGTGACATGAACTAATGTGGGTTTGAATAACGGATGCATTTAAGTGTTCGTCTCATAAAAAATCGATATTTCCATGCCTAGCTTTTATGGCCGATGTTACCGCCTCTCCAATAGTTTCATGAAGAGAACAAGTACAAATGTTGCTGCAATGCAGCACTTATATAGCTTCGCGCAAAAAAATAATGCGCTCATTACAGATATCTTGCCAAATTATTCCTGCGCATAGGTCATTTTTTATTTAGATTAAGAACTAGTGTACATTGTCAAAGGGCATCCAAGCAAAAATGCAGCTAGTGACGATGACAAGGTAGACATGTGATGACCAGATATAAACCTTTCAATGGTTAATTGGATTTTACCAGTATTGTACATGTATACCATAGATGAATGGCCGGACGAAAGACATTGTTCATCACGAACTTTGTTATGCTTGTGGTAATTTAGTTCTTTCTATTCGGCTATTTTATTGTTGGTTGGTTCCAGTACTCCTCACTTGAATACTATTGAATCACGCTAAGGATATGTGGCCTGCTTTTTAAATTGTCGTTTGACGTCTTATCTGTGATATGCAGGCTTCATAACGTCTGATCCCCATTCAAAATTTCATTTAATTTAATTCCGCCCATTGTTTTCTCGTTTAGGGCACACGCATTTCTTAACTTGGGGACCATATGCAGCTTTTCATGGAATGGCGCTTAGGAAGGTAATCTAGTACTGGTGTAACTCTCCATGAACGATGGTTAGAAAACTACCCGCCTATATGACTGAAATACTGTTGACAAAAGGCGTAAAATGAAACAAACAAACAAACTATGATAACCGCAATATGAACACATCTGCGGATGTTTCAAAATTCAGAATTGTACTAGTTCATGTTAAATGTGGAATTCTGCTTAAAATATGAAAAACAAGATCAACAAGGAAAGGCGGCGCTCAATGAACGCAACCCCCATATGACCCAGCAACAAGAACCAATGGCAAGGAGCCCAGGCGGACCCCAAACATAAAAAGGACAGGGCAACGACACGTTAATCAATAAATGATAAATAATTAAGTCGGTTTAAGGGGGCGTGGACGGTAGTAAATGTAGTAAATGACCTATTTAAAGTTTGTCGATAAATTTATGAAGTTGAATATGTTTGCATTTCATTTCCTTCAAAACTCTCCAGTTCGTTATTTATAAATATAGCGCAAAATAAATGACCGTAAATAGATTTTCGGAATTTCACAATGTGAAGGTCATATCTATTTATAGCTTTCGAATTCATGTACAGCAGTAAATACATACATAACCCACTGTGAACTACAAAATAATTAGTAATTTCCTGTAGAAGATACAAATGAAATAAATAAATTATCAAACTGTAATTTAATTTTTAATTTTGTCTTTTATACTGCTTTTATATATGAAATTTGTTTTCGTTCTCATCCATTGATATGACATACTGCAAATCACCGAATGGGAAACCAATATATGACTTTACATAATAGATATCGGAAGAAACCCTTGCTTCCGAATTTATTTTTAGCTGTAAATCGAAGGGATTAATTAATAAAATTCGGGTCCATTGACAAAAAATAGTCAACACAAATAGCTAAATAGATTATTTAGGATGTTTCCTCCTTATGACGCGATATGACATTGATATGTATCGTACTTCATATCTAAATCCAACTTCAAAATTCAAAATTGTACCCGTCATGATAAATGTTGATTTCTGCTTAAGCCTGTGCTAGGGGGCGTGGACGGTAGTTTTGCACTTGACAGTACTGTCCATGAACAGGCTCAATCAAACCGAGTCTGCAACATTTTCAATTTTGCCGTGTTGGTCTTTCTTTAGGGATTCTTATTCTCTCTATTCCACTTTCCTAATGTTTTGAAAGATTCTAATTTCTGATATGTTGTAAAGGTAAGGTAAATAAACATAAGGTAAATTTTTGAATAGTTGTACTTTCGGATATCATTTATGTTTGCAAGAAGGGGAAGGGTGTCAAGAAATTGCCGGTATATTTTGGAAGAGGTTCAATGTATTATAACTGATTGGGGTATACAATCTAGAAAGCTTTTGTGAACCATTTAATCAATTGACCTCTCTTGAAATAGAAAAAAAATAGTTTGACATAAGTGTTTTATAGCTCATCTTATTAGAAGCTTAACGAAAGTCTAACGGGATGATTTTTGTGCGTAAGTTTTTTGCTGTAGACTGATCTGAAAATTTTATACACATGTATAATAAGTCAAGATGCAAATGACTGTAAAAATTAATAAAATACGATGGAGTAAGAACATAATTATCAAGTTAGTGAAAAAATCTGGAAACAAAGTGGACCCTCGGAAGCATTAATCACAACAAAATTACATAAGAATTGCAGACTAGGTTTGATTGAGTCTGTATATGTTAAGCTCATCTGAACAATTCTCATAATTAAAACAGGCAATGAACATAGCCAAGACTGTACTTGAGGGATAATGAATACGTGTAATTTCCCTCACGCCCCCTAGCACCGACTTGAGCGGTACTCAATTCTGCAGGAAGATTCTTCTGTTGTTTTTTCCTGCCATACATCTTATAGAACTACATTTGTGATTGGGATTATTATGGTACGCTCATCTTAAGGACGGATGATAGTATAGATGCCATTGTTTAAAGTATAATTAGATTTAACTCATTGAAACTTCCATGTGATACGGTAGTGTTATTCCCTGAAAAGCGGCCTATAGTCCCGAAGTACAAGAATGCGTTTGCTATAAACGAAAAAACACTGAGCGAAACTAAAAAAAATGGAATTTTGAATGGGGATTAGGAGTTATGAAGCCTGCATATCGCAGATAAGCTGTTAAAATAGTAATAAAAAAGCAGGCCAATTATCCTTAAAGTGATGAAACAGTATTCAAATGGGAAAAACTGGAACCACCTAACTAGAAAATAGCCGAAATAAATAGTACAAAAAATACCACAACTACAACATAAAGTCCTGCTGAACGATCTTTAAAAATCGGAAATAAAACATCCCTGATTGAAAGTGCGGGGCCATGTTCTACGGCCTCAACGCAGACCAAACAATGCTGATATTAACTTTTATTATTGTGCCGTGAAGAAACTTCATTTTAAGAATAAGGAAACGAAAATGAATTTGAATGAAACATTAGTTGATAAATTTCTAATATTATGTAAAGTAATGTCTAAAAGACAAAATTGTTATTTAGATGATTCGATAGGTATTTTGTTAAACAAGAAAAAGCGTTTTACATTTATATTTTTGTCTTTCGGTGACATGTATAGCTAAATATAACACTCTCAGCTGTGAAATTTAATGATTATAAACGTAATCAGCCATTCTATAAGCAGAGATCAACAAAGAAGGTAGGTATTCAATGAACGCATCACTAACACGACCCAAACCAGGCAACACAGGACCAACGGCAAGGAGAGCATTTAAATTTTTGTAAACTAAAACTCACGTATTTTCTGTAGCCTGTGCATAAATCTGGATTCTCCATTCCGTGCCTGCATACATGATGAAAACATGATTCCCTTCAAAGGTCGGGTCTACAAAGACTGGAGTTGTTAGATTTGCTAAAATCTGTACAACAAACTGAAACAAATGCATATGCCCTATAAGATAAAGACATATATTGTACAGTGTTAAAGGTTATAACCATTATTGAAATGGTCCTATTAGCTCTTGCGTGCTTACATATTTTTAGGTATCATAGAAAGAAACCCAACAAAATGAAGACCTCAGATATATGGTTACTTTCGTTAAACTTATTATTTCCTTCAACTGGAGCATCTTTAAAAATAAACTTATGTTGATTCACCAATTTGCAATTTATGCAGTGTAATTATTAGAGCAATCATCAGGCAAAGTATCCATATATATGTTAACAGCTTGCTTGCTATAAATGATATGTCTAATATGAAGATATATATTTAAAGATATGTCTTTATATGATTCAATGATAAAATCTGTTTTAAATGTTGCTTATCGTTTGTTAAATAACAGATCTGCTAAGAAAATACAATTAAAAGAAGTACAATGTATTTCTATTTGTGCCATGCGTTTTTTTGCTCCGCGACCACGCCAAAAGTCGAAAATTAACAAGTTTAAATGGCGGGGGCGCGGAGCGAAAGCACGCTAATTAGCGAAGGCGCGGGGCGAAGTTTAATAAATAACTTCGCTCCTCGGGGCGCGGGGCGAGATTTTAGAATTGAAACGATGGGGTTGCTGGACGAAAAGACGCTAATTTGCGGAGGCGCGGGGCGAACTTAAATAAATAAATCTTTGTCGCGCCCCCGCTTATAAGCGTATTTTTATGCCGCGACCCTGTCAAGCGAAAAAGTCGATACTTCACTAGTTGAAATGGCGGGGGTGAAAAGCGAAAACACGCTAATTAAAGAGGGCGCGGGCGATGTTTAATAAATAAAACTCGCCCCGCTGGGGTGCGGAGCGAGATTTAAGGAATAAAACTGCGAGGTCGCGGGACGAAAACATGCCAATAAGCGGGACGAAGTTTAATAAAAAAAACTTCGCCGCGCGCCCCCATTAATTTGCGTGTTTTCGTCCCAGGACCCCGCCAAGCGAAAAGTCGATAATTAACAAGTGAAGTTTGCGGGGATGCGGAGCGAAAACATGCTAATTAGAAGGGGCGCTTATTATCGTGTTTTTGCTCCGCGCCCCCGCCATTTTAAGTTGCTAATTCTCGACTTTTCGCTTGGCAGGTTCGCGGGGAAAAACACGAATGACAAAAATCCGCCACCATATATTTTTGATACATTATGTGAAAAGTCGGTGATATTACATGATTTATTGTCAACAAATACATTTCACCTTTATCCCCATGCATGCTCCTATAGCGACATGCGCAAACTTGCTTTAATAGACATAATTGAAAAAAATATGTTGCTGCATTTCCTCTCGGGGTGTTGGTAGTTGATACATACAAAATATTATTTGGGACATAATATGAAAATGCAAGCAGGTTTAGGCCAGGGGTTTGCACCTTACCTTCCCTTTTCTCAAAATATTCACATTTAAGCTGACATTACAAAAATGTTTGTCGGTAGAGGGGAATAAAATCAGTTTAAAAGCAGCCAGGTCAGATTTTCATGTTAGAAAATATTTTATATATAGTTTAACGAAACACAAGAAGATCGCACCATGTACCATATTTTCAAGTTAACTTTCATACTAGTAGCATCAAAATTTGCACACATGATTGAAGTAAGATTATCGATAGTCGTTAAGAGTGAATTTACCAGATTTATTATTTTTCTTGAAATAATGATGAAATAACAACTTCGCCCCGAGGGGGCGCGGAGCGAGATTATTATTATTATATATATTATAATTATAAAATGCAAATTATTACATAAAACACAACAGACATAAGCAAGTTTTTCTTAAAACTTTCTCAAAACATTTGTATATATATATTTGGAATGTTACTCTAGCTGATTCGTGTTTCTATAAAAATCTGGAAACAAAGTGATCCCTCGGAAGCATTAACCAAAACAAAAGTACAAGAGAATTAAGGACTTGATTGAGTCTGTACATGTTTAGCTTATCTGAACAATTCTCATTATTACAACAGGCAATGAGCATAGCCACGTTAAAAAGTCCAATAAGGCATGGCATGAAACAGACATTTAAGATATTTATTCCCTCTTATTCGGGGTAAAATTCAACTGATAAATAGTATAAACTTAATAGATAAAAACTTACCAACGTGAAAGTGATACAAATCATCACATACCTGAACGGCTGTTGTGCTGAGGGAGTATTTTCCTGATATAAAAATTCCAGTGCCGTATTTTATGTTCTTTCTATTGTAATCTCGAACACTGACAGGAACGGCGATCCAAGAATCATCTGTATACCCATTGGCTTGTGTAGCATTGATGTATACAGTGCAATTCTATATAAAATAGGCATGCAAATACGTTTTATCTTATTTTCAGATCTGTTATAGCTACAGATTTATCTTGTGAAATATTTAATGAATCTTTAATTTTTTTTATATTGTAAAAACAAAAGTCATGAATTTTTTAGTACTTACATCAATGACGGTTACGTTCGGGGGTGGATGCCATGAAATCTTACCACCCTCAACAAGCTTGGCTAGCTCACATTTAATGAAATCGCCATCAGCATCGACAGCTGGAATCCTGATTTCCGAAAGTTTGCCAAGTTTAATCCTTCAAAATACAATTTAAATTCTTGAAATGAAATGGTGATTTAACGTATGTTGGCCTCAATGCATCATATAAATAATCATAAAGATTTTGTCAAGTGTCATATCATAACGTGTAACCAAACAAGTTTAAAGATGTTGATAACGTATAAGGCTCTTAGCTGTTTAATATAATTTAAATATCCAACGTTGTAAAAGATTATGAAAGGCTCAAAATAAAAATATTTCTTCTATTATGTAGATCACACATGTCTTAAAAAGTATTTAAATTGCAGCAGACTTTTTCACACAAAAACTTACGACAAATTTTTATCGTAAGAGAAATTTTACGATTAATCTCCTTTTCACAAAAATCTTAAGAAAATCTTAAGTGCAAAATCTGTCGTTACTTTACGTTAGGTATAACCAATTCGTAATTGTAATTTTTTCTCTTTTAAGAGTAAAATATCATGTTTCTTTTATCTAAACAGAACAAAAATGGAAAGACAAATATTTCTTTGTTGAGCTGTCCAATTAATGTGTGACCAAGATGAAAAGTGGACTTGAATGACTAATCAACAGGAAATATAGAAAAGTTACATCATCTTCTTTGTACTGATTGTCCTTTTGACAAAGCATGGCAATGTAGGCCTACCGTACGTAAATCGTCTTTTACAGACAATTACATGGCTTTAAAAGCTTTTGCACACATAAAGATTGTCTTCGATCTTGGAAGCTTATCATTAAACTAGAAGCTAGACAGGTTTCTTATTAATTTTATGCATGCTTTACTTAAGTGACCCCTTTTCAAAGTTTTAAAAGTAATTTCCAAATGTTTCATAATTAAACTTGGCACGTTTGTAGGCATACACATTTTTGATCAAGATTGACAAAAATTACTCAAAATATAACTTTGTTAAGTGTGTTTCTGGAAAAAATATTGGCTGTCAAATTTGAAATTTGAATTTCCCATGGAGGAGTTATGTGATCATTACAGGTCATGAACCTTAAGTAGTAAACAAAAGCACATGGCAGTGTTTATATTTCACCTGGAGAGATTTACAGCAGACGACAAATCGGAATGCTGAGCACATGACAAGAAAAAAAATCATACATCATAACAAGATCATACAAAATTTAAAATTAGACCAATATGATACATAAGATTGATATAGCTTTTTCGGATATTCCAAATTCGGATATTAAGATATCAAATCTTCATGTGTACTAATTTTCGCTTACTTAATGTATTTGTTTTAATTTTATACGCCCAAAAGAATTTCGGCGTCTGTCTGTTCGTCCGTCTGTTATAAGGTTTTCTTGTCCGGTCTGCATTTTTTGAATCAGTGGAAGGAAACTGAAACTAATTGGCAGAAATGTTAATCGTAATGAGAGGATGTGCAGAGTGCAGGTTTAACCCTCTCAGGTCAAGGTCACATTTAGTCATTATGCTGAATATCAAAGTTTTGTATCTTGTAAACCGATAGAAAGAAATTAAAACTTTTTGGCAGAAATATTACAATAATACAACATGCAGAACACAAGTTTGGACTTCCTACGATTAAAACTTACACCACCGCGGGGATAAATTAATTTTCTTATTCTTGAAAGGACCTAAATACAAAATTTCTTCTGAGATTGATTTTAATGCTTGTCGTAGTCAGATTGCTGAATCAATCGAGGATTTTTCTGTCAAATGGTGTCGTCGTGAAAATGCGGATTTATATGGAAACGTTACATCTTTAAAATTATTGATTCACGTATTAATTTTGATCGTGGAAATGAACATCTTCTGCAACCTAAACCAAGACTTACTTTAAACACCTGAAAAAGGATATTCTAGCTTTTCATTCAAAATTTGTTTTGATGCCAGCGGACAAGGCGGCTAATAATATTGTAATTGTATTACGAATCCATTACATTAACGTTTTGCATAAGGAACTAAATAGTACTTATGCGTATTCTAAAACCTCTGCGTCCGAAAAGGACATTGATCAATCATATCACAAATATTTCCAATCTTAAAGCCCAAATTAATGAAAAAGAATTCAAACTTCCTATTATGTATTGGATTCCTAAATTACATAAAAAACCTTACAAAGCGATTCATTGCTACTTCTACATCTTGCACTACAAGTAAAAATTCTACTTTATTGACGCCTTGTCTGACTGCCATTAAAACACATGTAATTTGATATTGTGATAAAGTCTATGAAAACACAGGCAGACATCTGCTTTGGTCTATTAAACATTCTGGTGAAATATTGGATAAATTCAAAATGAAGAACTATCAAGCTTCAAGTGTCAGTACATACGATTTTTCTACCCTTTATGCAACTTTGCCACATAAATTAATTAAACGAATTTCCCTTATTCAGAAATTTTGCACGGGAAAAAGTTACCTTTCTAGCATATGATACAAAGCTTTTTTTTTTACTAACGGTATTGTTAAACATTATACTATGTGGACCTGTGACGAAGTTTGTAATGCACTCTCTTTTATTTTAGACAACATTTATGTTAGATTTGGTAATACCCTTTTAAACAAATCGTAGGTATTCCTATGGATACTAATTGTGCACCTCTGGAAGCCGATTTGAGTTTGTACTGTTATGAATGAGTCTCTCTGAAGATAAACCACAAGATGTTATAGTCGCATTTAGTAATACCTCGAGATACATTAATGATATTTTTAATTTAGATAATTCTTATTTTGATCAAATGGTGTCTGACATTTATCCCCATGAACTACAATTTAATAAAACGAACTGTTGAAATTTTAGTACATCATTTTTGGATCTTCATATTACTTTCAACAACAACTCTATTCACACGAAAATCAATGATATGATAAAAAGGGATGACCTTGAATTTTGTATAGCTAATTATCTACATTTAGATTGAGACGTACCCCATGCAACATCTCACGTAAAGGATTTCAACGAGCGGATTTTTTTCATTAGCAGCAAGCTTCTAAAACAGGGCTACCGCTATCTTAAATTACGGAAATATTTTACAAAATTTTACAATCGTGATTTTGATTTAGTTTCAAAATACCATATTGATTTAAAACCTCTTCTGCGACAAGGGATTAGCCAGTCTGTTTTTTATTGCGATGTGATTCACAAACTTCGTTAGACTTTGGGTCATAGTAATTGTTTTGCTATTTTTACTAAAATCATTACACGTTTTATTAAAAGAGGTTATTACCCTACTACTTAAAGACATACTTCATGCTTAGTGTTCAACCCTCTTACAGTTGGACACTACGCTTTCCACTTTTGATTAAATCGAACCAAGTGGGAGACTGTGATGGACAGTTCTTAAAGCCCTGTTCATTGAACGCCGTCACTGAATGCACTGTCCATAATTAAAAAGAGAGGCAAGATATTTAATTTAAAAGTGTTTTCATTGATGCCTACCTGGTAAGGAAAGTAATTCCATTGAATACAAATAAGAATTACAAGACTTGTAAATGTTATATGACATGACTGTACTGTGTTCTGTTTGTGTCACAACGGTAGTCAGTAACATAAGATGATAAAAATTTCAAAGTCTGTTTTTTTTATTATTATAATTGTAACAAATATACAAATAGTAACAATAGGGACTAATATTATAATATAGTAATATAACATGCATTTTTTTTCATGTCAAATTAAAAAAAAAGTTGTTTTCAATACTGAAAGTATAACACACTCTGGGATGAAAAAATTGGGATGAATTTCAAAAGAACCAATTTCAGATATTTTTTTCACGCGTTACATGGTGATACAGTATTTATCAATATAATAGAAGACTGTTACCTGAATTTTAGGCAGGTATGAGGAATTTTACTAACATCATGTTCGTGCGAGTCAAAGATATAAAAGCTACTTGACATTGGTGATATATAAAAAACTATTCTTAAATGATTTATTGGGAGGCTAATGTACATTTTTGTTGAATTGCTCTAAAACCATTCATAAAAATCATTACACCTCATGTTTAAACTGCAGATCAAAGTTTCTGTTGTTACCAATGATGCTGTCTATCTAAAACATATGCTTAATTAGGGTCCATCCGGTCGTAAGGGCACAAAATGCAGCTTTCGCTGTCGAGTACGGACCCCGGACATGCCACCAAACATGCCCTTAAAGGGTTAATTTTGAAGCACAAAGTAGTGATAATTTATTTCCATGCCATACCAATGATGCAAATGAAATATAACATTATATACTAAAGTTATACGTCATCATCATGTTTTGCGTATTTTTTTTATTGTTGACGTCAACGACGTCATTTTCTGTATATATAATATAGTGTAAGATAAAACATGTAAGAATATGTGATTTGTAAAAATTAACAGAAACTCCTTGAAAAAGAGGGTTTTAACTTTCTGAAACGTTGGAGATATAAAAGTTTGTGTAATAGATAATTATTTACTAATTGTTTCCAGAATAAGCATATATTATTATCACTAACTATTCATGTGACAAGAGCATTGTTCTTTGGCATTGATCATTACAGACCTTAATATTGATAATTGAAATAAAACATATTTTGACCAATGTTATAAATCTGTAACATTATCTTTGATAACTTTAAATATTATTTCTTGAAACAAATTTGCGTTTGGGCGTGTATTGCCACGCCTTTGTGGTGATCTTGCTGTAAATACAATCCGTTTGTCTATTTTACAGCGGAGGTCGTCTGGTTTTGGTTGAAATTTACAGGAAAGAAATTAATATATGTAACAATTTCATTGGTCATTTAGAAATTATAAAATTAAATCTAAGAATCTGATTGGCCATTATTAATTTAGTTTACCAATAACTGGATGAGCGTTTTGTGAAAAATGGCTATTTTCATTGAAAATCTTTCAGTAATAAGTTTATATTGCTATGAAACTATAAAAGAGGCTTAAATATTCATCAAACTAGGCACAAATGTTTACTGGACTAAAGCCTTTGTAAGGGCATGCTCAATCCTAAATTTCATTTTACCATGGCAACGAGAAGACATCTCAGAATTGCCAAAAATGTC